CGGGGTAAGGCGCAGTACAACAAGAGGTCAAGGAGAAAGGGGAAGTTGAGAGGTCCAGGATCAGGGGTGTGGTTTGCTGAAGACGAGGGCATATGAAGAAGCGGGTTCATTTGAACACACACCTTGGCATGCAAGTCTGCCAGGTATTGGCGCGAGCCTTCGTCGGCCAATTCCGTACGCAGGGTGGCTTGCATGCCCGTATCCAGTGGACCAGGCGCATAGCTCACCGTTCGGCAGTTGGCATGTTTCTACATGGGGCATATCCAGCCGGATGTGTCAGAACAGCAATGGCAAATTGGGGTGGAAACCAAGCTCTGGAGGATGAGCAAGGCAAAACTGTTTTTCAGAAAGCTATGCTTTATGCTTTTGGAGGTACCTCGGCGGCCAAGCAGCGCAGATGCATGTCGCGCATCGCTCGCGTGCTACAGTACAAGCCCGTGCTTGCAGAAGCTTGGACAGCCCATAGCGAGGAGATGTTGACAATGGTCTTGCGTGTCTCGGGCAAGGCTGCTACCAACATGTTGCTGAAAAGGGATGGGATGGGGGGGAGGGAGCAGGCACGGGTTATCATTCATTAGAGCCTCATGAAATGAATTGCCCATGTACTGCGCCGCCAGAGCGGCTCCGGCTTGGCATATCAACGTGTCACGCACGCAAGCAACAGCGGGGAGGTCGCATTCAGATGGACGTAATCACCAACGGCACTCGGGTCAGTTTCAGCCTCAAGGGTGCGCGACACGTTGCCCAAGGTGCCTGCATTGTTGACCAGCAAAACATGGTCGCTCCCTTGCGCTTTCTAAGGGGTCACATGTCGATGATCATCGCCAAGGACAACTCTAGAGGTGAGTCGTGCTCGGCCGCCCGAGCAGAGTCACGGCCCAGATGGAGCAGGGAGCACAACTTGGCATACCGCGGCAGAAACTACATCCTGCATTAGCTGCGGGAGCTTGGAGAGGTCGCCCAGGTCGGCCCGCAGGACGGTCACCACTGACAGGCGCAGAAATACGCACAGGTAAGTGCACTAGCGCAAATTGTATCGCAAAGGCTCGAACACCACATGACTGACCAGCGTCAGCGTGGCGTGCTTGAATCTCCTTCTCGACTTGGTGCAGCTCGTCTGCATTTCGAGCCACCAAGACGTAGTGGGCTATCGGTCACCACAGCGCGAGCGGCAACAGTGATGCTGGAGTCAGCTGGCTACTTGCTCGGGCTGTTAATAGATGAGAGGCAACGGCACGGTGCGGGTTCAAAATCGAACGAACCTGCTTTCTGCTGTGCATTCTGGGCACTGGCAGCCTCAAGCGCAATGGCACGGCCCAGACCACGCGATGCGCCCGTGATACAAATGGTTGTAGGAGCCATGGTGCTCGTCCGTTGTGTCAGTTTGAAGAGAAAAAAAAAAAATGAAACCAAGAAGGGACTGCGGACAAGCACGTCGACATGTTTCTTCTGCCCTCACTGACACACACAAATATACAGACACAAAACTTGTTGCTTCAAGTTTGATGAGCAAGTGAGAGATACAGCTTCATAAGCTAGATTGTCCCATCACTTCCGCAATGACGCTCGGCGGGTATGGCTTCCTCTCGACAAAGTCGAGGGGGCTGGGACCTCACTGACCATAATCCGTCGTGGGATTGGCGGCCAGTTTCGAGGAACCAGATGCAAGGCTGCGATTCGCCGAAACCGTGTCGCCTCCAACTATAAAAACTCCTCTCCCATATGCCGATACTTCGGCACTGACAACTGCAAACTCACAAGCTCAAAAACCCTTCGCTCCTCTTTTTGGGGTTGGGCGGGTGGGCGTCAAAATTGAGCGAGCTTATTGCTGGGAGTTTGAGGAGAAAAATGAGGGAGGCTCAGGCCGCATTGCGCCGACACGTCGTCGCAGAAGGATGGGAAGAGAGAGAAAGAAAAGTGCGCGTCAAGGCGCCGCCACGCTCCCGTCAACAACAACAGTTCTGGGCATCAGCTTCTCACACAAAAAAACACAATAGATTCCTTCCAAGGCTCGTGAAAATCGAAAATAAGTGCTTTTTTTGTTGTGAGGAGTGCGATCGATAAGTAATCGAAAACGATCAAAAACGATAAGTCCTGTTGATAAGTTCGAACTTATCGATGCCTCTTTAGTAAGTTCAGATAAGTATCGAGTTACACTCGTTTTCGATTTTTAGTAATTACTAAAGCCGATAAGTTGTGCTTGAAAGGAATCTAATTTCGCAAGCAACTTTCTTCTTTGGTTTTGGTTTTTCCTTTCGTCGTAGAGAGAGAACAAAGTTTCTTGTTGACGTTTGGCGAGCCAGATGTGAAATGGCCAGGAGCGTCAAGTTTAGGGCTGGTCTGGCCGTGTCGTGTGGGTACATCAAGTGTCAGTCAATTATCATGCCTCCCACCACGCTTGCACATTTTTTTTATGCACCAGAACCTTGGGTAACTTAAGAAAGGCGTTTAATCAAGGTTGAGCCGGGTGCCGAACAGCCGCGTGCAGATGCGCTAACAGGTATGGGAAACGAAGGAGGGTCGGGGGGGCATGAATGCGAGATGATTCTGGCATACGGGGCAAGAAAACCAAACCAGAGAAAAACCTACGTTCGATTGGGTATGCCTATAGATCTTGAGTAAGCAGTCCAGGTGCACGTTGCCCTCTGACAGAAGCTCGTACGCTTGAGCAAAAGCCGAGTTTCTAGATGATGCATGAGTGATCACAGTGTTAGAAAACCTCCTCATCGTGCTTTGCCTGGATCAAGCGCCTGCTCGATCTGACCGTTCCTCGGCAGTCTTGCAGGCACTGGCGTGGCAACCCAGAAAAAGATCCTGTTGTAGAGGTAGGTGCGTACTCAAGACAGTGAGTTGCTTTAGCATGGCGCAGTCATGTGACAAAAATCAAAGAGGTGAATACAACACTCCCACCAATGCGACACACAAAGAGGCCATGTTTATCCCTCTGAATACGGAGATTCAAGCAGGTTGGCGTCAAAAATTGAACAAACCGCATCGGCATCGGCGACCATGCAGCTCAAGTTGCGACCACAGTGATGCAGCTCAATGGTAAAGAACCAGGGCTGGGTCTCAGATTTCAGGTTTGGATGCTGCGGGGTTGCTCGATTACCAGTGATAGGCTTCACGTTGAGCACTTTAGCTAACACGCGAATAACCACGACCCCTGCCTGCAAAATCAAGTAAAGAACCGTGGAAAGGGACCGCGTATGAGAGCACTGGCGGCGCGTATGTCGTATAGGTCTGCCCATCACCCGTGAGTCAAAAGCATGAAACAGCTTCTCCATGCTTGATTTATCGCAAGACTCACCGTGGCTGCATCCACCTCAGCATCACTTGGCAAAGAATCAGCAAAGGGTAGCAAAGGATGCTCAACACCTGATCGCGGAATTCCGGGCAAAAGCTGAGTGAGCCTACCTGTGCACCACATCCATGACAATACGGAATGATACGAAACGCAGCGATAACCAACTGGAAATGCACAAGCTATCTGGTGAAGGTTGCATATCGCCGACATCTTGAGGTGGTGCTTCGTGCTGCGCCTGTTCTTCGAGGCGTTGCAATTCATCAAGAACTTGCGAATCTTGAAAATAGCTTTGGCTATCATTGATGATGGGGCTGGGCTCCATGGATGCTTTGTTGTTCAAGGCCAGATACTCATCTAGTCGTCTACGGTCACTCACAATTGCCACGCGTTTTCAGATGTGGTCAGGAGAAGGCATCTGGGTGGGCCTCGGTGTGACGGCTTCGCACCTTTCGAGCGCTAATGCCTCGTGATCATCCGGGTCCAAGGGTTGGATTTGTACCTCAGTGCGGCCCGAGAGATTTAGCTAATCAAATGGGCAGCAGAGAAACACTGTGCTTGACATGGCGAGACACGACAAAGGAATGGAAAGAACAAAGCAGCCATGCTTTGTGGGCGGCCTGCTGAGTCCCGGTCTGACCTGGCCATTGGCACTCTGAGTTACACCCACAAGACGAACGACGTCGCCTGGGCGCAGCTGCTGCATCACAAGCTTCGCATGTTGTTCCCATGCCAAAATGTTGACACACAGGTTTTCCAGGTTGGCTGTGGCAAAGTTTTTATGGGCAAGCATCAGAACAAGCGTCGAACGTGGGTTGGAGCAACACCGATATCAAGCAACAGGCCAAACCTGCTTGCACTTTGGCATACGCGGGGTGATTGGGGTTGAGTCTAATTCGAACCAGAGTTTTGGACACAACGTGAACGGTGTGAGCACGTCGAACGAAGACGCCGAGGCAAGAGCGGCAGACGCAGGACGACGTACTTGTAAGACGGGTGTTGGCTGCCGTCCCAGCAGAGGAGGCAAGCTGGGTGGGGCGGATTGGGGCAGCTTATGTCCACAACCTTGACGATGAGCGTAAATGTCCCCAAAGCATCCAGTTGCGCCAGTAAGCGATGACCAGGATCTAAGCGCAACCCTTGCGCGCTTGCCCAATCACGCAAAGCACGCAGCCTTTGCCGTTCCGGTTCCGAAATGTCCGAGGTGAGCTGATGACTGTGCCAGAGAGGCGTTGTGGGCTGGCCCATCTGCTCCGCAAAGTGCGCCAATGAGCATCTGCAATGTGGGACAAGCGAGTACAGTCAGTATTGCGGTCCGTAAGGACGACAAATGAGAAAACGAGTGTCATTCCAGCAGGCGCACACGCCGAAGCATCGCGATGAATGGTTGGCAAGGGGCATGGCATGCGGCTGAGCACGAACTGAGAGGAGGGCTTAAAGGCGCCAACGAGTTGAAGCTTGTTTTGCCACATGTTAGCTTTGAAGCGATGCAATCGCACAATGGCGCCCGCACTCAGAAGGGCCGGGAGGCCTGCGGGGTCAATACAGAACAGATTGACGGGGACTGGGGGCGAGTCTGGGGCTAGCGACTCGTCGGTGATGAAAAAGGCCAGGATAAAGTCGGAGCCTCGGGTCTTGCGGGGGGGCGAGACGCGAGTTACGACACCCCATGTGGAGATGGTGCGGTTTGCAGCCTGTCCAGGGTGCTGCAGCGCTTCACGCAGTGTCACAAAGGATCCCGTAGCCCGTTTGGCACGTGGCCGGCCCTCATGTGATGGCGAGCGCGTGCGGCCGGGCTGCTTCGTCGCGTCTGGCACACCATCACCCTCGGTGGAACGGGGCGTGGTGGACGACGCACCGGATGCGCTGCGGGCTGTCTGTTGGGGGGGTCGGCGATCTGTCCGCCCCCGCGTAGGTGGTACAAAGGAGCTGGGATCAGCGACTTGATCCGGGCCCACAGTGACACAGTGTGAGCCAGCTTCGGTGTAGAGCGAAGGGTGGGAAACCACTACGGTGGCACGGTGGGCATGCAGAATGATGCGGTAGGGCACTTTGGAGGCCAGGCCGTTGGCTTCCTTTTCCAGATCAAAGGCAAAGAGGAGCAGAGAGTCCTAACAAGAAGGAGAACCAACGATGTGAAATTTGGTGCATTCTAAAATGGGGTGAGGTGGAGCCGAGGCGGCGGTGGCAAGGGTTGAAAAGGCTCAAACCTTGGGCTCAACAAAGGCCAGCAGGTCCGCCAATGATCCGCGGACAGTCAACATGACATCTGCGGCGCCCGCTGGTGCCGAGTCATCGCGGATGAGGAAATTGGCGATGCTTTGTTCGCTCTGGCAAAGATTTGCAAATAATTTGGTCAAGACAACAGCCTACGTGCCAGAGACAGGTGCAGGAATTTCGGAGTGGGTGCTTGAGCTTAGGAGGTGGGGGCAAAGTGCAAGGGGGATGGCGATGAATTGTTGGTACGAACGCGAATGTGTCCGTTGGTTCGTCCAGGCTGAAGCTCACTCAGCGGTATACAAATGCGCTCTGCATCCTCCATGTCGTCCCATCCCGTCTGCACTCGTAGCCAACACGGACGTGAGTGCAAGCAAAGAGAGGGCAAATCACCTCTAAAGGTGCTCACAGCCGATCGGCAGCGGCGAAGACCAGGGGCGATAGAGAGAGACAGAGACAGAGACAGAGACCAGAGAGAGACCAGAGAGAGCCGAATTGGAAAAAAATCTTGATGACACAAGATGCAGAGAGACACACAAACGCGCGAATAAAAGCAAAAGTAACGGTCTTGATTTGTCAGCATCAGCACAAATGTCAGATGGGTTGAATTGTCAGCCAAAAACATTATTGCAGAAACTCAAAGCTCTTTACACGTGTGAGCGCGAGAGAGAGAGAGAGAGAGAGAGAGAGAGAGAGAGAGAGAGAGAGAGAGAGAGAGAGAGAGAGAGAGAGAGAGAGAGAGAGAGAGAGAGAGAGAGAGAGAGAGAGAGAGAGAGAGAGAGAGAGAGAGAGAGAGAGAGGGAGGGGAGAGGAACATTTGCTGCTGCTGGTGCTGCTGCTGTGTCAACGAGTCGGGCCTTGGCATCCATCGCGAGCGCCATGACGGAGCTTATCAACAAGCTTGCCGGGGATCACCTGGCCAAGCATCAGGCCGACTATTGGCTGCAGCAAGAAGCCAGCGTTGATGGCATGCTGGGTGGCTATGGTGCCATCTCGGAGGTGGACATTCAGGGCTCACGCCAGCTGCTGCGGGAGCTGACGGAGATGTACGATGTTGAGCGCACTCGCGCTCTGGATGTGGGTGCCGGCATTGGACGTATCACTGAGCATCTGCTCATTCCTGCTGGCTTCAAGGCTGTCGATTTACTCGACATTGATCAACGCTTCTTGGACACAGCCCGCGACCGGCTGAGCAGCACCGGCCAATTGGGTGACTGCTTTTGCTCTGGGTTTACCCAGTTTGACTTTGCTGGCGGCTCCCGCCGTTGGGATCTCATTTGGATGCAATGGTGCGCCATCTACCTAAACAATGATGCCTTTGTTGATTTCTTCAAGCGTGCAGCACAAGCCCTGACGCCAACAGGCATTCTTGTTCTCAAGGAGAACACCTTGAGCAAGAGTACCGCAGACGAGTTTGACGACGATGATGGGTACGTTGTTTCTCAGCAGCAGCCTCGGCGAGCTTGATGGATACCCTGCAGAGGCAGGCGCTTGTTTGCACTTGTTGTGCACTTGTCACGCTTGGGCTCGATTGCCACCAGCCTTCTCACCTCTGCCATCTTTTTATTTATTTATTTATTTTTTCTTCCTGTTTTGCAGTTCTGTGACCCGTGGCCATCAGACCCTTCGCCGGCTATTCAAAAAGGCGGGCTTGGAATTGTTGCGCTGCAAGCGCCAGGCCGGCTTCCCGCCCGAGCTTTATCCAGTTTACTTTTACGTTCTGCGTCCTCTTTGAGGAAGTTGCCAGCAACCAGAGATTAAGATTTATAAAATGACAACGCCTCGCCAGTGGCGACGGTTTGGGCCCGTAAAGCCCCACAAAAATGCTTGGCTGCATCATCTAGCGGGCCTGGGTAGCATCTGCTTGAGATGACGCAACGCCGCACTCTTGTGCCATCGGCATTTACAATGGCTTCCGAACAGCTTTGGAACAGCTTTGGAACAACTTTGGAACAGCTTTGTGTAGATTCGGGTAGCTTGGTATGAGGATGGGCAAGCGGTTGCAGCCACAATTGGCTTTTCGAGCGTCAGAGGTCCATCTTGTTGCTTTTTCGTTTTCTTCTACCTGCATAGTGTTTTGCAAACAAATCATGTCTAATCGATGCCCATTATCCTGACCAACTGACTGAGTGAATGGCTCTTCAACAGCAGACAGCATCGGCAAAAGAGAGGTTTTTCAATTGACTAAAGATCATAGCCCAACTGCTGGTCGGCCCTAACCCTGGGCACTGGCCCCGCGAGAAAAGAAGAGCAAAGGAGTGGAAGAACAGAAGATAAAAGCAAAATCAGAGTGCGAGAGATCACGAGAAACAAAATGCTGAGATTTTCAGCTCATGCCATGACTATGCATCGCTTGCCTGATGCAGCCACACAATGTTGACAGAAGGACAACAAGGAAGGGGGCAGGCAGGTCGATTCGATAGCTAGGAAGTTGGATGGAGCAGTGCTGGCACAGCCGACTTTTAATACATGCCACCCTGGGGCATACCACCCTGGGGCATGCCCCCTTGCATACCACCCATCATGCCACCCATCATGCCTGGGCCAGTCAGCATGAGCTGAGGCATACCCAGGGCTGGTGCAGGTGGTTGAGACTCCTCCTCGGCCTTCTTCTCAATGTGATGGGTGTCCAGCTTGTCCACCTAATGAAACGTCAGCAAGTAACAGGTTGATTGAGCGTGAGCGACCACGGGCTATTCGACATGAAGCGCAACGCCCAAGAGAGCAGGCGCACCTTGTCCATGTACTCGCGCATGACCTGGATCAGGTAGGGCATGGCAAAGTCCATCATGCCGTTGCGCCATGCAAGCTCGGTCACGACATCCGGACGCAAGAGATCGTAGCAGGCAAAGCAGCATGCCGCAAAGCATTCCCTGCAACAATTGGCAAGGCAAGCAACAAGGACAAGTCAGTGTCAAGCACGATACTTGGAAACGGGTCAGGATAAACAACGAAACAAAGAGATGCGGTTCGGGTCTTACTTGTCATCAATCTCGACAAAGTAGTCAAGCAATGCCTTGGCCGCCTCAGGATCGCGCGATTCAGCCGCGTACTGCATGGCATCCTTGTAGAGGCGATCCTTCTTGCAAATGTCCACGCTCTGTTTCCAGCGGTTGTTGCCCTTGTAGAGGTATGCGGAAATGCGCCGGAACTCGAGCAACTCGTGCTTTTCCAATCGCTGAGCCAGGGCAATGTTGTCAAAGTTCTTGTAACCATCGATGGAGGTACGAAGACCCTCGTAGTCACCCTCATGAATCAGCACGTCGTTCAATGCCTCGTTCACGACCACGTTGTCGTTCTGTTGCACAGTCTTGAGGTAAGGCTTGGCCATGGCCACGACGTCGCGGTCTTTGAGCAACTTGACAGCACGCGTATGATCAATGCGGCCAACAACGGCCGTCAGCAGGTCGTTGAGCAGGAGCGGCTTGTGGGACAGGTAAAAGTCAACGGCCTTGTAAAACAGCTCGGTGTTGGCCACCTTGACAATCATCTCGAGGAAACGCTTGTCGTGCCACGCCTCGGACGGATGCTCCATCATGGTGATGACGGCGTTGTCATACTCATCGTACTTGTCGTACAAGAACACGAGCTCGGGCCACAAGTGAGCTTCCTCGGCGGCGCGCAGCACCTTGGGAATGTTCACACGCGACCAGTACATCTCGAGGTACTCCTTCATCTTCTCCGGTTGGTAACGGCCATACAAGATGGCAAGCTCGGTAAAGAGACCCATGTGGGCGCGCTCAAGGCCGAGGCCGGCCTCGAGGAGGGCAATAAGCGGCTCAAAGTGGCCCCGCACCAGGTAATAGGAGATGAGCTCACCCAGTTCGTCGGCATGAACAATGATGTTGAGGCCGCAAATCTGCGCCATCTTGAACTCCTGGTGGTCAACGCAGGCGAAGCACACCTCCTTCCAAGAGCGCGTGCTGTTGGCCTTGCGGGCAGCATCCACGGCTGCTTGGTACTCCTTGAGGTGCACCAAGGTGGAGCTGAGACGGGCAAAGTTTGAGGCATTAGAGTAGAGGATCTTGGCAGCCTCCCACAATTGCTCGTCGTAGCAGCGGTCGCCAACCTCCTGCACGTTGGCAATGTGTTGGCTGGTGATAAACTCCTCCATGTCGGCGAGTCGGTTTGTCTTGGCGTACGCAAAGACGAGCTCGGTCTCAATGGCGGCGTCACGGGATTTCTTGCGCGCCATTTGCAGGTAGCGAATGAGGTCTTCAAACTTGTCATGCGTCTTGGCAGCCATGACGACACCCTGCACGGCAGACGGGTCGTTGGCCTTGATGTAACTATCAATGGCCTCCTTGATCATGCCGTCGCGCAGCTGTGCGCCGGCCAAAAGGCTCCACACATCAGCATTGTTAACACGCTCAGCGTACTCGTAGGCGCGATCCAGGTTCTTGATATCATTGATAAGAACCTTGACAGCCTCGGTGTGCACCTCAAACTTCTTGAAGACGGCAAAGGCGTCCTCAAACTGCGAGTGCTCAATGGCCACCTGGGCAATGGTCGAGGCATCGTAGTCGTCCAGGCGGTTGATGTACTCGGACACGCGTGCACCATCGGCCTTGATGGCCGTCACGATCAAGAGGTTTTGCAGGTTGCTGTTCTTGCTGAACATGGACTCGCCCATGACAAGCTTCTCGAGCAGCTCAATGAGCTCAGAGGGAATGTCGGCCGCGATAAACGCCTTGACAGCAACGGAGATTTCGTCCGGATCTTGGGCTTCCAACAGCGCAGTCTGCACCACCTGATCAATGACCGAGCGGCGTTGGTCGTTGCTCTCGTCCAGCACACGGGCCCAGAGGTCTGAGTCCTTACGGCGCACCAGGTAGCGAGCCAGGTTCTTGTGGAGGGCGTTGGCGTTGCAAATCTCAATCAGCTGATCATCGCAGTTGCCTCGCTCGTAAACCACAAAGGCCATCTGGGGGTCACGCTTCTCGCAGTACTTGCCCACGACGGCACTGTCGTAGTACTGGTTCTCCTTCAGGAAACGCTCGGCATTGGTGTTGCTGTCAATGTAGATCTTGGCCAAAGCATTATGTGTGGCAGGCTCTGTCACACCTTCTTGCACACGGCCCTCGAGCCAAGGCAGCAGCATCTTCAGGCGGTTGCGCTTCTCCACCTCGGCAACCAAGTCATCGGTTGAAAACTCGCCGCGAACGACCATGATCAAGTTCTTGATCGTGTCCTCCCTACCGCCGATGAAAGATGGCAAAGACACACAAGATGACTATGAGTGCGCTTGCGCATCTGTGAGTGGCATCGGGCTCTGGGTGTATACCACGTCACTCGGAAGAAAGAAAAAAGGGATGTGTGTTTAACCTGGCGAAGGTGATCATTGCAACGCGTGCTGGTCAACTCCGTGGCAAAGGCAACAGACTTTTTCTAGGCACGGCCTTGAATGCAGACAACCCAGGAGATTTGGGGCCGTGCACTTCAGTGGGCCGAGCCAAGCATGAATCGCGTGCTGTGTTGTGTTGTGTTGTGTTGTGTTGTGTTGTGTTGCGTTGCGTTGCATCGCGTTGGCATGTGGATGTGGTTTGGTATGATGGGTGCAAGCCGTGGAACTGAAGGTGAATGCATCGCAATACTTACGAGCAGTCGACGTCCATGAGGCCACCAACAACGGCGGGCAGACGCTTGGGGTTGACCTTGGTCACATATACTTCAATGAACTTCCTTTGGTCGTTCTTGTACAAGTACATGACCAAGTCTTGAACAAAGTCAAAACTAACGCGGGGCACAGAACGAGCACAATGAGCGGGTGGACCGACTTAAACGGCCAACACAACAATTTGCTGATAAGAGTGGGAGCATACCGATCGCAAACGATGATCAGAGGCAGCTGGTCGGAGAGCTTGGCTTCCTTCAGATAGTTCTTGACGCGCTCGGGGTCGTAGTGGTTGCTGGTGCGGCAAATGCGCTCCACCTCCTTCGTCTGACCCGTCTTGCATGCTGCCTCAATGTACTTGAAGTGCACTTCGGGGTCCTCCGAGCTGTTGACAACAGCACCCAAAAAGTAGAAGAGGCCCTCGGCCGACTTGAATGACTCGAAAAGGTCGATAAGAGCGGCGGCGCCAATCTGCTCATGGTACTTGCTGGCAATCTGAACGCACACCTGCAGGTTCTGGCGGATGTTCTTGCTCAACATCTCCCGCAGACACTCGATAGAATCATCCACTGAGAGCGTGGAGAAGTACTGCACAAGCCAGTTGCGGTCCAGCATCTGAGTGTGAATGATGGCACGCTTGATGTCATACAGGTCAGTGTAGTTCTCCAGAGCGCGCTGGGTGAGGCCACACTGTTCACAGAGCTGAGCCACACGCTGCTTGTCAAAGTGCGTGAGCATGCCCTGACCCAAAATAGCGTCGGCGACTTGAGGGGCTTGCATGAGGTTCATCTCCAAAAGGCGAGTTTGCAGGTCGCCCTGCTCCGGAAGATTGGGCTTCAGAACCTCCAGAAGGAACGCGGTGCAAGGCTGGACAAGCTTCATCTCGTCAAACGCGTCCACAATAGAGTTGATGTTAGCGAGAGGAGGATCCTCCTTAACCAGACTGGTGGCAAAGGGCACGGCCTTATCCGGGCTGGAGCGCAGAATCATGCGCAGAATGTAGGCGTAGTCGGCTTGGTAATTGACCTTCTTGGCATAGAGGACCAGCTTATCAAACTCGCCAGTCTCAGCGAAGCACTGAATCACCTTGGCCGAGGCTTCGGCACGCAAATACACGGAGAGGGCAAACTTGGGGCTGATGGGCTTGATCATGTCGCCCAGTTGCTCGCTGCACTCGAGCTTGTCCTCCTTGAGCCACTTTTCGAGGAGCTCGGTGCGGTTCTGCTGCACAACGGGGCGGCAGAGCTCAACAGACTCGTGGGCGTTGAGGCGGGAAGTTTCAAGCAAAGTGCTAAAGTACTGCAGGATGGGGGGCTGTTGTCCCGGCTGTTGTGGAGCCTGCTGCAGCTTTTGAATAGTGTCCTGGTTGCGCAGGATACCCTATTCGAAGAATCATTGGGTAAAGCACGTTTTGATGATATTAGAAACAGGATTGAACAAAATGAAATTGAAAGTATCACGATCACAATTGAACAAAGCCGTTGACACGGTTGGGCTGACGCCATCGGAGTGCACGGAACAAGCGACGGGAAGACTTACGCGAGGAGCTTCAGCGGCCACCTTGGCGGCAGCAGCAAACTGGCCTTGGCCGTAGAGGTGGTTAAACTGCTGGACAAAGGTATCCTCCGCACCAGGCAGATCAGCTCGCACGGCCAGCTTGAGGGCAAGTTGCGGGTTCTTGAGCTGTGAAGTAACATGGCTGACCAGATTGGCCTCGTCCACGGTGACGGAGAGCACCTGACCCTGGCGGTTGACGCCGATGAGGCCGCTGACGCTGTCCTGGGGGGCCGTGATGAAAATGGTCTCGGCGGAAATGCGCTTCATGAAGATGCACGAGGCCGTCTCGACGTCAAACAGATGCAAGTAGCCCAGCTTGGTGATGACGTAGGCCATCTGATACTTGGGGCCAATTTGCATGGCGACGGGGAAATCACCAGCAGCGTCCTGGGGGAAGAAGATGTCGGCGTTGCACTTGGTGAAGGGGCGGTTGCCAGCGGCCGGCGCGCCGACCTCAATGACATGAATCTTGGCGCCCGCAGCTCCACGGTTGGCCATGCAGAGGACGTTGGAGGGGTGAGGATTTCCCGGCATTTTGAACTGCGTGAAGCAGGCGGCATGGGCCTCGATGGGCTGAGACACCTTGCGCTCAACCGAATAGAGCTGCATCGAACCAACCACGCGGTTGTCGCGCGCGCTAATGCCAATCAGGATGAGCCATTGCTTGGCAGCATCAGTGCGGTAGTTGATGATCTGGGTGCCGTTGAGGCTCTCATGGCGATCGAACATCTTGACGGGAGCAGAATCACCCTCAAGAGCCCAGTGGTAGACGGACTGTGCGGTGACGATACCCAGTGTATTGTCATCCACCCAGCGCCAAAACTGGACGTCGTCCACCATCGTGTGCGCCTGCAAGGTCAAAGAAGGCAGAGAATGGGTGAAGAGGGGTGAGGGGTGAGGGCAAGCGGGCAGGCGGCCGAGTCGCTGGGGGAGGAGATGACAAAATTGCCAATGTGGGTGTGGCAGGAACTCGGGCAGGGATTCTGAACACTCAAGTGCCAAGTACTGGGGCTGCCACACACCTTGAGTTTTTGCTTCGTCTCAAGGTTGAAGATCTGCAGGACCTTGGCTGCCTTGAGCGCAATGATGTTGGCTGCAGGGTTCATAATGGCATTATCTGCGCCTCCAGGCTTACGTTCCACCGACTTGTTGGCGACATCAACAATCACAAGCTGTGCAAGTCCGACAGACATGGCAGAAGTAATTTTTTTTTTTAAGTTCCAATGAAAGGCCAGCAGATATCAGCAATATGAGGGCCGACACGAGTCAAAGGATGCAAAGTCACACCCTCTGGTCAAGACAAACCTCGGTTTTACCGGCCTTGGCTTCACGGACGCAAATGTACTTTTCCGACTCCATGGTCAGTGTGTTGAAGGAGATGGAGGCCGCATCAATGCCCATGCTTGTGAGCTGCGCGTCGCAGGGTATCAGGAGTGAGCCAATACGCCAGTTGCACACAAACAAGACACGTTCCGACTGATTGAAGCCAAGTCCAGTGGCAGGAAATTCTGCAAAGGTGGAGCGAGCGCACCTGAAGCATCTCCTGAAACTTGATGGGAAGGCCCGCCATGCTGCTGGTGTGAGGCAGCGAGTTTCCTTCGGGCCTCCGCAAATGTGATACAAGGTAGACGGAAGGTCAGTGCCGCGCGCTTGCCCGGCAATGTAGTCTGTGTGTCGTGAGCGAGTGAGCATTTGTGAGTCATCGGACGAGGAGTTGCTTGGATGCCAATGCCAAGAGTGCATGCCAAGCATGTAGCTAGCCCCCTGGTCGGCCACAATGCCTTGTCTCTGGACGATGCTTTTTCTTCCCGGCTCTTTGCCCTGATTGTCTGTTTTTTTTTGTTTTTTTCTGTTTTTGGAGTATGAGGGACCAAGGGCAGCCTGCCCACGAGAGGGCGGAGACTTGCGATGCCGGCTTGGGCAACCACGAGCGATGGTGCTGATGGGGTGTGCCTCTAACAGGGCGGCGTGTCGCGAAGCGGATGGATGGACGAGCTGACCAGCGGTGGGGTCGTTCAAGGAACGTCACGAACCTGCCGTGCGGCTGTTGAATGCGTCGGCGGAGCGAGAGGAGGGGATGGAGACAAAGATCGCGCGCCACTGGATCAGTGAACGAGAAAAGCCAAGAAGTCCACTGGTGCTTTTGGTCGTAGGCGGGGAAGTGTGTCTTTTGTGTCTTTGTTGTGGTTTTTGCGGTCACAATGACAGGAGGTAGCAGTGCTGTTCTCGTCGCAAGCAGTGGAATTTGCCACGACGACGAGCACTACTGCCTTTTCGCTTGCAGGCAGAAACTTGAGCATCAGTCGAAGAATCGACTTGCTTTGGAGGGGGGCGTCGAAAATACAGTGTTACACTCAGACCCCGAAATCACCTATATTTAGCATAACACCTACAAAACTCGATTGTTTTTTTTTTACCTGCAAGTGACCACTATGGCCTCTCCCATATGCATGATGACGTTCAGCAAGCCTTGAACCCCTCGACCAGGGCTGTGTGTCTTTTGACAAGTTTGAGGTGCGGTGCAGACAGACAAGAGGGTTTTGGAGTACAAATGCTGACTCAGTTGGGTGGTCGTGCGCTGCACGACCCAAGGCTGGCTCCAACACTTGCTTCAGGGTCATAAGCAGGGAGATCGCGTGTATGCACACGAAGTGCTTGCTCACGGTTCGGGGCCGTCCCCGCCCCCACTTGGTGGAGTCGTCCGCGGGCTCGAGTCCAGTGGGAGAGAGGGGAAACAAAGATCCAAGAGAGAGGGAGAGAGAGGGAGAGAGGAGGGAGGAGAGGGGAAAAGAAAAGACAGAGAAAGAAACATACAAGACGAAGACACTAGCAAGAGGGAACAAAACGAGAGAACAGGAGGCGCAGCACCCGGGTTGTGGCGCGAGGGCGACTCTTTTGCCTTGTTTGTCACTTTTTGGTGAGGGGTGACCGACGCTGCAAACTAGACGGTGTGGCGCACTTCAAAGAACCGGTGCAGGTAGTACACCTGGCCCACGGACATGAGCACGAGGATCAGCGCCTCAAAAAAGGCCCAGTACACCACGCGAGAGTTGGTGCTGTCGTTAACTGTGTCAAGGAGGGCAAGGGGTCCGGTGAGGCCGTGCGAACAAGGTAGGCAACACTGGGCACAGCAAGTCAAGCCAGATCTAGCACCACGTACTCATGCGATGCGTGCGCTCCCGAATCACCATATATTCCTGTTCACGGCGCACCGTGACCACCTGCTCGGCTAGCTCTTGGATCATCTCGTGCAGGTTGTCGTGGATCTCTGCAGTTGAGGTCAAGATAGACCATGAGAGGATTCAGGGGATTCCTCAGGCAAGATGCATGTCCTATTATTGCTTGGCGCCAACCAACGTACCGGCTTCGTCGCCCAGCGTGTCCTTGATGCCTTCCTGACCTTCGACGTACATGGAAAAGACCACAAGCTTGTTGGTCACACTCGACATCTCGTTGCTGAAGCAGTATCTATGAATCAAGAGATTGTGAAGCCTGGTCAGCATGGCGTTTGGGCACAGGATCTGCGGCCTCTGTGCAAGGACAAGAGCGGCCCTGGGTATTGGGACAACTATTCGAGCACACCAGTCACCGCGAGGGGTAGTGGATCGGATCACATGGGCGCAATCTGGCAACGCACTTGTAACGCCCATCCATGTGAGCAGAGAAGGTGTATTTGCCATCACTTTCGCGGCGACCCGCATAAACCTCCTTTTCGTCTGGCCCGGTAATCTGTTCGATGGAGGTCCTGAGGGTGAGCTGCGGGCATCTGACACTGGTCTCAAGCTCACTGCACGACGCCAACTTTGAGGAGAAGGGGGGAGCTCAATTGAGAGCCGAAAAACTCGAGCGTACCGTGACATCAATGTCGAGAAAGCCGCCATCGGCCACCTGGAAGGTGAGGCCCATCTTGGTGCCGCTCTTGACATCCTCGAAGAAGCACTGCTTCTCGTGCGCATCGACGGAGACGGCAAAGCCGTGGGCGGAGGTGGCCAAGGCCAGCAGCGCCAGCACAGCCAGGGGTGACATCATGATACGGGCCCCGGGATACAAGATGGCAACCGGGAAAGGGGCGAATGGTTTGGCCTAAATCAACGCAGGGTCACGATCAGATGGTCAGTGACATGGGCAGAATGGCTGCGGGAGCGGAAAACTTTCTCAATAGATTTGACGGGCCTGGCCGTGCCCTTGAAGAAGCACACGGTGACCAGGCTCATCGCCGAAAAGGCGTGTCAATGCCCCGCGAGCCATGTGTGGCCAAGGGCAGCGACAACCAGCAAGCCGTTCGAGCTCAGCCGCCCCCCGAACCCATCGTCACGCACCAACAGCTCAACTCCAACAAGACAAATACGACGAGCCGGCATTCAAAAGACCCACTACCAACTGTACTTGTTGATGCAGCTTCAAACAGTCGCTACCAACTGCCATCGTGGCTGGAATAGTCTGACAAAAGGCGGGTGAATGAAAGTTGTCATCTTTTTTTCTGAGAATTGTCAGAACTGTTTCATCACTGTCCGCGTTCTGAGGCGCTCGGGCCAAGTGGACGGAGTGTACCACGAGTCACACTATATCCCGCACGCGCGGTGTAGTGGGTGCAAAGTGTCCCAAAAGGCGCTGCGCCTGTCACCAGCAGGCACACATGTGTTGGACGTTGTTGGATCAAACCATCATCATGAGCCTTCTGGCCTTGTGTCCGCAACGGCTCGGGGACCTGTGCACGAGCGGACGGGGAGAAGGAGCCTTTTGTTTTGACCTAGTCGGTGATGGTTTTCGCAACTTGCTTACCTCTCCTGGCAGCAGCACACGATTTTCAAGGGTATCAAGACCAGGCCAGACCGACCCGACCACACAACGAGCTGGTCACCCGTTCGCCAACTCCTGTCCCCCAAGAGTCGGGTCAGACAGATGCCCCTCAGTAAGATGCTAGCATGAGAACATGCTCGAGCATTCAATGGAGCGCTGCCGTTTCATCTCCATCTCCATCTCCATACACACATATACGCAAAATTTCATCTTATCCATCCACTTAACCACCTGGTGTGTGTGTGTGCTTTGTGGGTGCTTTGTGTGTTGCTGTGCGTGTTTGTGTGTGTCTGAATATTTTTTTCCATCCCACTTGGGGCACCACCTAACCCTTCCCCCCCTCTCTCTCTCTTCCTTGGCCTGCCCCCCCCCCCCCCCCCCCCTCTTCTTTGGCCTGCCTAGGGCTACCACGTTCTTACCTCCCACTAGCCCTTCCAGTGGGCCGTCGGTGTGCTTGGTGAAAAGGCCGCTGCCATATTAAACCCCCCTTTCCAATCAAGGCCCCTTCGCCCTGCCGCTGGTCGGCTGGGTTGGAATTTGTCCGGCCTTTTATTTTTTTTTCCCTACAGGTCAGTCTCCCTCTACCTCCTCTTCCTTGCTCTCCACACGGCGGCTCGCCTCCCTTGGTTCTGTCCGGCGTTCCTTCAGCAGGCGTCCTTATCCTTAACCCCTGTTCGTGCGGCTTCTTTCTGTGCGCTGGCTCGCTCGATAGGTTCTCCTGCGTAGCATTGACCATTTAAAATGGCGCCCAGCCACAGGAGCCCCTGCTGGGTTGTTCTCTCTCTCCTAGCCCTCGTGCTTGTCCCGACTTGGGCCAACACCAAATACGATAATGCGTACATTACTGACATCACCCCTCGCCAAGTGGGCTACAAAGGAGGTACGCTCTTGTCGTGCCCCCTGGCTGCCGCCTCATCCACGCGTTTCACCAAGCTCACCTCATCGACCCTCATCGACCCCTGCGAACCCTGGCAGGCCAACACATCACAATTCGTGGTGTTGGGTTTGATCGCGAAGGTCAAGAAGGCGCCACCACCGTCTACGTGGGCACAGATGTCTGTGAAGTAAGCTCACGACCCATGCCGCTTCGACCCCTCCGCTTGACGCCATCCTCACTCCCACGCCTGCCCGTTGTCATCCAGACAATTGCCTACTACTCCTCGGATACGCAAATTGTGTGCGTCATGCCCGAAGTAACGGTGGTAGAAAGCTATTTGGCCGTCACCGTCTCTCTATGGGTGGCAGGCGGAGCCATGGGCAGCACAGCCATCTGTGAGACCAGTTGCTCTGTCCGGGCCCGCAGTGTCTATACCCCCACCATCAGCGAAAGTCAATTAGCCGCACCCCCTGGCGGCAATGTGACCTTGATTGGCTACCTGCGCGGCATTACCGCGGACGAATTTGAGCTGCGCTTGAATGGCACCCTTCTCGAAACCGCCTACGAATCTGACGACGTCATTAGCACCTCCTCGTGGAACACTGGCCGATACGACGCCGTCGTGCCCTCCATGACCGCTGGTTACTACAACGTCTCCTTCCTTGTCAATCGTCAAGACTCGTCCTGGGGCGCTGGTTTTTCTGCCAATTACAACTCAGTGTGGCTCGCGCACAAGAGTACGTTGCTGTTACGCGCTTACACGTACCCTTGTCCACCCCACATGACACGTCCTACTGCTCTACGCCTTGTCTTTGAGGTCCACCTCACTTCGGGCCTGCCCGGCCGCCCTGCCTAATTCGTAGATACGACCTATGACTTTGAGGTCCATCCCGTCGTTTCGGCACTCAGTGCCAGTGCAGCCGGTACCCTGGGTGGTGCCCTGCTCACCGTGTACGGTGACGGTTTTGATGCAGATGCATGTGTCGAAAACAACGTTGTTTCTGTTGCTGGCGTCAACTGCGTACCCGTAGCCTGCACCAACACTGAGATCACGTGCCGCCTCGAAGCTGTCGTCGGCGTTCCCGAGTCGGACCTGCCTCGTGGTCTTGCTGGCTCCATCTTCTCCAACTCCCTCGGCACGTGGACCCCAGCACCTGCCGAAGTCTTCAACTTCACGCAAACCTCCGGCGCCCACCATTACATGCGCGACTTCGATACCCAATATCGCCAAGTGTTGGAAGGCTATTTCGTGCCCGAGGCCACGGGCGACCACCGCTTCTTCTGCCAGGGCGATGACCGGTGCTATTTTGACATCTCCACGGATGAGTCTGTGGAGAATATGACCGACAGCGTTGCCTACTCCACGTATGCCACCAGCTATTGGAACTCGAATAATCAAATCTCCGACCCCATTCCTTTGGTGGCCGGCCGTCGCTACCGCTGCCGCATCCGCCACATTCAGTATGGTGGCGGGGACTTTTTCAAGGTTGGCATGCACGTGTCCTCCCCTGACGTGGTGCTCTCACCCAACGAAATCCTCCACGAGTCGCTGCGTGAGCGTCAGATTATTGAATTCACCTCTGACGTGGTGCGCGAGCAACACGAGCTCGTCTTCAACAACGTTTACAATGGTACTTTTTACCTGACGCTCGATGGCCAATGGACCACCGCCGTCGACCTTGACAGCCCTTCTGCTTTGGCTGACGCCTTTGAAGATATTTCTGATTGCGGGTCCATCTCTGCCAGCGAGGCCGCTGGTCTTGTACCCAACCAGCGCCGTATCATCATCACCTACAGTTGCCCCACCACCATGGCCCGTGATCTGCCTCAGATTTACACCAGCGCCGATGCTTCGCTCACCCCAGCCAACCGCTCCCTACCAGTGTCCTATCGGGTGAATCGCTACCGTGCGGCCAGTGAGCCTATTCGTGGCACGTATCAGCTCGGCTACAAGGGCAACTGGACACGGCCCCTGGCCTACTCCTGTGATGCCGGCTGCGCTCTTGATGCCCTCATTGAGGTGTCGGAGCTGCAAGAAATTTCTGGCGGCTCTTCCGGTAATTCCCAAGATGGCATGACCCTTACGTTCTCCATCTACTTGCCCACGGGCAATCTCTCTCAGATTGAGGTCAACAGCAGCGGGCTTACTGGCGCAAACGTCACGGCTCGCGCCTACACCCAGGAGCACGGTGCACACGAACTCTTTCACGAAATCATCCCGGGCCGCTACTTTCGCCGCTTCTACAACGACTCGGATGGTGTCGTCGTTGTTACCACCAACGGCCTGCGCAGCTCTTGCGCCGACCTTGGCCAAACCAGCAGCGCTTGTGCTTTTGCTTTCGATGCCCAACGCAACCCCAGCATCAATACCGTCAGCAATAGCGGCGACCCTAGCGTCCTGGCAGTTGCCGACATCGTGACCATCTCCGGCGCGGGCTTTGGCCTCGATGAAGCTGCCATCGCTGTCACCTTTAACGACATCCCTGCTTCCATAGTTCAAGTCTCCGACACTGAGGTTATCTGTGAAGTGCCCCACATCAGCGCTGGCCCCATCAACATTGAGCTCATCCGTGCCCACGTTGGCCGCGCCGCCAACCACGACGCCACGGCTTGGACCTACGCCCAGGCCGTTGACGCAGTGGGCCCGCTCACTGGCCCAGTGGCCGGGAATCTCCTGCTCAACATTGCCGGCACCGGCTTCCCTGCCAGCCCTGCCGAGAATAATGTCACCGTGGGCGGTCAACCATGCGTTGTGCAATCCGCCCAACCGGATAGCTTGACCTGCATCCTTCCACCCGCTTGGAGCGACCTCGACACGCGCGAAGCGGATCTGAACGGCACCCTCAATGCCACCATTGTTATCAACGGGGAAGCTTTTACCAATGATTTTGTTTACGACTGGTCCCTCACCCCGGTGTTGACCGCTGTTACCCCGAGTGCCATTCCATCAGCCGTGACCACACTCGTTACGCTGGCAGGCAGCTGGCCGTCAGTAGGGTCCCTTGACCTATCTGGTGCGGCTTGTGCTGTCCCCGCGGGTCTTGCCATCACTGTTGCCGGCCGTGCCTGCCATGACGCTACCCTAATCAATGCGACGCACCTTACCTGCTCGTTCATTCGTGCGGATGGGCGCGCCTTTGGTGAGCAGCAAGGCCTCGTGCCCCGCGTGGACTTTTGCCTCACATCGGGGAATCTGTGGCGGGCTCATACGCAGCCGACCGTGCGCGTGGATCTGAACCATCGTGTCACCGCTATTTCTCCAGCCCGCTTCGGCACTGCGGGAGGCGCGCGCATCACCATCACTGGTGCCGGCTTTGGCCAACTCGTCAACAGCGTCGGTGTCGAAGCCAAGAATGTCTCCGGGTCCAATGTCCCCTGCCTCGTCGACTATGTGAGCGACAGCCAGGTCGAATGCGTCATGGCCGAGGCCACTGGCGAGGCCCATGATTGCGAGCTCGAGTTACAAATCAACGGCTTTGTGGCTCGCTGTTCCCCCGGCACCTGCGTGGTTGATTTCCTTAGTAACCTAACCGCCGCCATCTTGCCTTCAACGGAGCGCCCCAGCGTGGGATGGGGCGATGTCGTCACGCTGACCACGGAGCGAGTGTGGGGCAACCCCTCGGTCACCGTGGGTGGTGTTCCAGCCGTCGTTCAGTCCTACTCGGAAACGGCCGTGACCTTTGAGGTGCCCGCTCTCTCCGCTGGTGCCCACGATGTGGCCCTGGCCGTCGCACCTTATGGCCGCGCCTCCGGAATGGCCAGCCTGGGTTATCGTCTCAGTGTAGATGGTTTGTCTCAATTATCGGGCTCGGTGGCCGGTGGAAGCCGCGTCGTACTCGTCGGCGAGGGCTTTCCCACCGACCCTACCGCCCTGGCGGTGTCTTTTGTTCACGCTGGCTCTGGAAACAACGCTCGCCGAGCCGCCGTCTTGTCGACCAACATGACTCTTGCGGAGGTTGTCATTCCATATCTCATTAACGAGGGCACGGCCCACTCCGAGACTTATGAACTGGCCCTTACCGTGACAAACAGCTCGACTTTCCAAATCAGTGTTGCGGACGCGGCTGACCTTGCCACCGTCGCTGCAGCCAACTGCACCAACCCTCAAGCCTGCGCGTTCTTCTACAACGCGAGTGAAACCCCGGTATTGACGGCCATTCAGCCCACCACCGGTGCGGCAGGCACCGTCTTAACCCTTACAGGCAGCAACTTCTTTGCCGAGCCTCGTGTTCATATCGCGGGCGTGGCTTGCACCGTTTTGACTGCCAACAGTAGTCTGGTGACCTGCACTGTCGGTGAAGTTCGTGGTGGCTCTCACCTCGTCGAGGTGGAAGTGACACCCTTTGGCATGGCTATGGGCATTCACACCTTTGCAGCCACCGCTACCGTCGACAGTATGAGCCCTGCCATCGCCTCGTACGCCGGTGGCACCCTCGTGACGCTCCATGGCCACGGATTTGGTCCAGCAGATGCAGTAAGCATTACTGTGGGCACAAAGAGTTGTGATGTGGTCAACACAACCTACAACCAAGTCCTTTGCCGCGCGCCCGAGGTTCTGACCCCGCTTGCAGTGGCCTACTACGCTCACGTGGAGCCAGTCGTGCTCCCAGGCACCATGTCATATGAGCAGTTGCTCGACCGAGACTACTCCACCTATGTATCGAATTGCTGCAACAGAGAAGTGGATTTTGCTCTTCCTGAGGACCAAGCCGCAGTTCTGACCCGCGTGCGCTTCTTTCCTCGGCTCAAGTACGAGTCTCGCTCGGCAGGTGGCCAATTTTATGCCTCGCCCAACGGCACCCACTGGGTGCTCATTGCTGAGATTGCCGACTATCACGCTGGCTGGAACTCGATTGACGTGAGCGTTGACTTCCCCGTGACCCACATCCGCTACACCAATGAGCGCATTGACATGGCCGAGTTTGAGTTTCAGGGTCACGTGGTGGAGCAAGCAATGGACGAGGCGCTGCCCGTCGTCACTCGCATCCATCCCGCTGCCCTGCCCAACAGCATGGTTGTCCACGATGCGGCTACTGCCCCTGGGCCGGCCGATGCATATATCGCGCCTGGTGTGCAGAATCTGACATATGCAACGGCCCAAACCCCAGAGGTCAATGCCATTCGCCCCACATGGGGCACGGCTTTGGGTGGGACTAAGATCACAGTTTTGGGCCTGGGTTTGACCGCCGTTTCCAGCGTCACCATCAACACCTACCCATGCAGCGACATCTCGGTCGTGAGTGACTCCCTCATTACCTGCGTAACCACGCGTCGATCCACGCTTACGGCCCTCTCAGTCGAGGTTGAGGTTGATGATGGGAGTATTGCCGTGAACCAGCCCACTGCCCGGTTTCGCTACATGGATCGGTGGTCTCAGGTGAACACTTGGGTCAACGATGAGCCGCCGATCGAAGGGGACACGGTTGTGATTCCCGCCGACCAAGTCGTCCTGATGGACGTCACCCCGCCCAAGCTCTTCCTCCTCCTCGTCCAAGGCCAACTAATCTTTGAGGATATGCAGGACTTGGAGCTGCATGCCAGCTACATTTGGGTCCAAGGTGGTCTGTTGGAGGTGGGCACGGAGGATGTTCCGTTCCAGCATCGTGCAACCATCACGCTGTATGGTGACCGCTGGAACTCAATTGGTCTTCCACACTTGGGTGCCAAGTGTCTCGTGGCCACCAATGCCGCAAACTACATGGGCCTGTACGGTGGCCATGATGGCGCTGCCGTCCCTGCCACCCTGCGCGGCGTCATTGACATCCACGGCATCCCGCGCCGTCGCACTTGGACCAAAGTGGCCCAGACAGTCGCGATCGGCGATACACAAATCTTCCTGTCGGAGGAGGTTGATTTTGCTCCCGGCGAGACAATTATCCTGACCTCGCATACAAACTACAAACAAACGGAAGAACTGGTGGTGGCCGCTCGCTCCGTCGATAATCGCGTGCTCACCGTCACCTCACCCGTGCAATATGAGCACCAGTCCTTCTTTTACGAAGCTGCCGGTGAGCGTGTGGACATGCGCATCGAAGTGGGCCTCATCTCGCGCAACATTGTTGTTCAGGGCGAGCCTGGTGCTTCGGAAAAGCAGAATTTTGGCAGCCATCTAATGGCTGCGCGTGGTGCCATGCTGCGCCTTGAAAATGCCGAGCTACGTCGTTGCGGGCAAGCTGGCGTTTTGGGTCGATATTGCTCGCATTTCCACCTGGGTGGTAGCCTGCCCGATAGCTACATCAAGAGCAATTCCATCCACCACAGCTTTCAGCGCGCCGTGACCGTTCATGGCACGCACAATGCCTTGGTGCAGAACAACGTGGCGTACTTTGTTAAGGGCCACACCATCTTTGTCGAGGACGGCGATGAGTTTTTTAACGTCATTGACGCCAACCTTGTTGCTCGCACTGAGAAGCTGCACGTCATGCTCAAGGGCGATCAGAAGCCAGCCTCGTTTTGGATGGCCTCGCCCTCCAACCTGTGGCGCAACAACGTCGCTGCCGGCTGTGTCAACGACGGCTTTTGGTTTGAGCTGCCGTCCAACCCCCATGGTCCTTCCTACACAACGTCCATCTGCCCTGTACATGGGCACCTCATTGAGTTTCGCAATAACACTGGTAAGTGAATGTTCTCAGGCCAGTGAATCTGCGCTTGTGCGTGTTTCCGGTCGCGAGGTCTAAAAGATCTGAACTCTTGCTTTGCCGTGGCACTCACATGTTTGTGGCTTGATTTCTTTGGCTGTTCCTTGTTTTCGTTTTTTGTTTTTTGTCTGTTTCTGTTTTTTGCAGCGCACGCGAATGGAGTGCACGGCCTGCGCATTTACCCCGTATACCTCCCATATGTCGACCCCTGTGACGAATCATCCGGGCCTGCACCACAGTACTACCACAATTTCACTACCTTTAACAACGGCGAGCATGGCATCTTTGGCAAGGAAAACGGCGATCTGCACCATATCAACGTCAAGTCAGTGGGCAACGGTCGAGAAGAGATTTTCTGGACCAAGCTTCATGACGTGGAATACCGTGAGAACGACCCACACATCGTGAACAGCCTGTTTGTCAATCACGTCGACCCCAGCAGGCCAGCGCACACTGTGGGTCTCTTCATGCCTCAAAACGAATACTTCCATGTGGCCGGCGCCAAGTTTGTCAACTACGGCGCCAAGGGTACCCTCTCCGCTTGTGCCAAGTGTGACACGCAGACCAATTTCCGTCAAGGCGGATACACGTTCCGATTGCAAGGACTCGAGTTTTTCAATTCCACCAAGCGTGCTGAGTGGACATCGCCCTTCAAGCAGATCTTCTATGACCTGGACGGCTCTCTCACGGGCTTTGTCAACGGCACCGCCACTCCCTTCCATGCCTTCAACCACTACCCGGGTGTATGCGACGCCATGGGCGAGGCTTATGACTTTGGCCTGGTTTGCGACAACACGGTGCGCGTTCGCCGCTTGCAGATTGACGCCATTGAACCGGATGAGCTGGATGACCAGGCGTTGCGCCTGGCCCAGGTAGCCAACGCCTCCCGCAGCGGCACCATCGGCTATCGCGTCAAGGAGATTGGCGGCTGGGTGGCACCGGTTGTCAACAACCGCGAGTACGATCTGGGCTTGGTCTCGCTCATTGACTTCCGCTCGATGCGCATCCGTTACTCTGAGCGCCACTACTTGCAGTATGATGACGAGTTGTTGCTCCTCAACTTCAATTACACTGATTATCGCTACGACTTTGAGGTCGTCGTCGGGGACGCCGCAGTGGAGCAGCCGTCGGTGAGCCTCATCGACACGCTGGGCGCGACCTCGGCTTACGGTACTGGCCGCATTGTGCCCAACGAGAAGCATTGGTCCGTTGCTCTGACCGCACGCCCGGCTGACCCTTGGGACAGCAACCCCTTCATGCTCGTCACCCACGCCATCCAGTGTGCACCGGGTCGGTGCGGCTTCTTCACTGATCTGCCGTTGTACGACCCAACGCTATGGACTGAGACCAAGTACTGGTGCCGAAACTCTGTCACCAAGAGCGCCACCTATGCACGCTGGTACAGCGCCGAGTTCACCTCCGAGCCTTCGTGTGATGGCGACCACACGCTGCCCCTGGCGGGAGATCAGGTTGAGATTGGCGTGCGCATGTATGTTGTCATGAACATCAATCCACCCGCGTTCAGCCACATGGACATTGCCGGCAAGCTGCAGTTTGATGACAGTGATGACCGCATGCTCGAGGCTAACACAATCAGTGTGTGGGGTGAGCTGCAAGTTGGCAGCTCGGGCAAACCATTTGAACACGAGGGTGTGGTGCGTCTCCACGGCCAACGTACCTCAGATTCGCTCATCATTGACGACACCCACTTTTTGGGCAACAAAGTCATGGCCGTTCTGGGCACCGTCAGCATGTATGGCCAGCCACGCACCGCCTGGGTGCGGCTGGCAGCAACCGCCATGCCCGGCGACTTGGCCTTTAACGTGACCTCCCCAGTGGACTGGGTGTCCGGAGACGAGATTGTCATCAGTTCGACCGAATACGATGCCAGTGAGACGGAAACGCATACCGTTGCTGCTGTGTCGACCGATGGGCTGATGGTCACGATGACCAGTGCCATGGCTCACCGCCATTTTGCGGGCGACATTGACGGTGGAGCGCAGGGTACGCAATTCCTGGCGGCCGCCGTTGGCCTGCTGAATCGCAATGTTCGCTTCGAGGGCGCTGAAGGCGCAAATGAGGGCAGCAACTACGGCGCTCACGTGGTTGCCATGGATGTGAACATTGACGGGAATGTCAAGGTGGCCTCTACCGAATTTTCCGACGTGGAATTCCGCTCGTGCGGCCAGCAAAATATGGAGCACGCTTGCATCTTTTACAAGTATGACCGCTCGTACACGGCGGCCAACTCTCCCAGCAACGTTTTGCACAACTCGGTTCTGCACAACTCGAACAACTATGGCATTGAGACTGAGGGTGCGCCCAACGTCACGATTACCGATTCGGTGATTCACCGCACCTATCGCAGTGCGCTCAAGTTGGACGCCACTACGATGCGCTTTGTCATGACTGGATCTCTGGTTGTAGACAACCGTCGCTCGCCCGATGCCTCCACCGATTGGGTGGTGCCCTACGCCGGCCTATACGCCGAAACCTACTCGGTGACGCTGCGTGACAACGTCTTTGCGGGCATGACAGACACTGGCATGATGATCCGACCCAATTCATGCGGCGACGCTGATCGTGCCACCATCACCAACAACGAGGTGCATTCGACCCTCGTGGGCGTCTTCCTCATGGCCGATGCCAAGTCGTGTTTTGAGCTACGTGGTGCCACCGTGTGGAAGGCCGCCCATCTGGGCATTGTCACCGTGGACCAGCGTGCCGAGGTGCAGATTCTGAACAGTGTTGTGTCGGACTCACACATTGGCATCTCCCTCAACTTTTTCACCATCGCCAAGCGGGGCTCGGAGGTGCTCATCGAAAACTCCCTTATTATGGGCGCCACCGCCGCTTCGACTTGTGACGATTCACTTCGCTGCCGCGCTGTCACTGGCACGGACGTGCAAGGCACGGGCAGCACCTGTGGCTCAGTCTTTGGCAACAGCTACCGCCACGTGGGCGTGGTCCTTCCTCAGTACACGAACCGTGGCAAGACGTGCGAGCAAGACTACCTGCCTTCCTGCCGCCCGGTGACGCGCCCAGAAAGGCTGTGCGGCATGGGCTGGGAGGCGCGCTACGGCCTTCCCTCTGTCACGCACGCGCACATTACCATGCGCGATGTGACCTTTGCTCATTTTAACAACCGCAGCAGCTGCAATTTGAAGAGCTACGGCATCCTGACCAACCCGACGCAGCGCAACTATGCGCCCGAGCAGCAGTATACGGACGTGACCTTTTACGAGACGGACGCCGAGCGCCGCTTCTACTTTGGCCGTCTGCCTGAACACAGCAGCGAGTGCCAGACGGGTTGTGATGCCCTCACTTACCTCTTGGCACACGAGTCCAATGGCGAGCTGAGCGGCCTGAGTGGGGCTGGCACCATCACGAGCAACGTCAACCCCGGCGTCATTCTTGGCGAACCCTTTTGCACCTCGCTGCCCAGCAACGGCGCCTCGCGCTGCGGTAGCGACAGCATGCGCCTGCGCCACGCGGTCTTGATCAACCGTGATCGCGACTCTGGCTTCCGGCGCATCGGCCCCGTCAATGTTCAGCGCATGAAGGCCGACGGAGTCAACGCCACGGAACGTGTCACCTCCTCGGAAGGCCCGTTCAGCGATAACTGTGCCAAGCGCTTTTACTTTGGTCAGCACCCCTTCGTCATTGACGCGGCCCACAACATCTTCAAGGTCAACACCTCGAATGACTTCCCCGCCAATGCGCGCATTGAGTTTGTGGGCCAGGACGTCAACGACCGGGCCCACCTCAAGATTCGCGTGTATGTCACCAACCTTGACATGCGTCTTGTCCACAACGGCGTTGAGAAGGAGCCCCTCGGCGCCATCCCCGATGTCAACGTGCATCCCGTCGGCACTTACACCTTTGATGCTCGCAACACGTTTCATTTGATCGTGGGTGGTACCGGCCACCACATTTTTGACATTCGCACGCTGAGCATTGTGCGTCTCAACTTGACGGTTACCATGAGTTTGGACGAGTTTTTCGACCCGTCCCAAATCGTCTCAAACTTGGCCATCTTGCTTGACATTCCCAGCTCTCGCATCAAGGTTGTGGGTGTGCATGACACGGCCAGCGCGGATGCTCGGCGCCGGGCAACCGGTAGCAAGGTTCTGGCTTTGGCCATCGGCGACCAGGATAATGGCACGAGTACCGTGCCGACCACAGACGAAGAAGAAGAGAACCAGAATAACTTGCTCGATGAGTTGATGAACAACATCACCGCGGTTGTGACGTCGGGTGCGCTCAAGACGAAACTCAATGAGTCGGGCGTTCGACTCGATGGCGTCACCATGGCGGCCCCGGCATCTGCGGGCCTGGAGGCCTCGCGCGCAACCCCACTGAACATTGAACCCACCACCGCCGCCCCGAGCCTGAGTCCAGGAACGGGGTCTTCCAATGACATCGACCCAGCAGCTGTGGCGGGTGCCGTGTGTGCGGGTGCCGTCCTGGCCGTGATTGTAGTCCTCTTGACCGTTCGCCACCGCCGCGAGACGCAGCGTCGCGCGGCCCTAGCCAAGGCAGAAGGACAAACGTCCGATGGTAGCGAGGCCGAAGGAACCCTGCAGACCTCCCAAGTCACCGTGCTCAACATGGACGCCCACCCTGTGGAGGTGGAGACCATGGAGGGCCGCCCGGCGCCATCCTCCAAACCGGGCAAGCTGGCGCGTAGTGGGAGCTTCTTTGGCCGGCTTTTGCGCTCGGGCTCGAGCAACTCGGTCGGTCCAACTGACGACAGCAAGGACACCGAGCTTCAGCGCATGGAGTCGCGGCGGGGCCTCAACCCGCTTCGTTCTGAGGACATTGGGGTTCCTGATGAGCGGGAAAAGTTGAGCACTCTCAAGCGCATCAAGATGCCCACGGTAACGGACCGTATTCAACAATTGCAGGATGAGGTCCATCGCGTCATTCCACGCAAAACTTGGGAATACGTTGGCTCGGGCGGCAATGATTATTGGCATCCCAAGCTCTCGGCGGCCCAGGCGCAGGAAATCATCATGGACAAACCCCAGGGTACATTCCTCTTGTATGGTCGCAAGCCCGTGATTCTCTGTGTCAAGACGGGCAAGAACACAGCACGCCACGATGCCCTTGAGTTCCATGGTGATCTGGGCTTCCGCATTCAGATGAAGCGTGAGCAGCCCTTCCACGGCGACCTGAGCACTCTGATTGCGTACTACGCCGAACCTCGGGAAGGCGTACCGTACACTCTCAACGACTATGAGAACAATGACATCCACTTCAACGTGCCCAGTGCCAGCACTCGCCTGACCACCTCGGAAGAGCGTGGCGTGGGCCTTCCAGAGTACACGGACGAAGATCTGACGCGTTTGGATCGACGCACTTCCATGCGCCTTCGTCGGGCCAAAGACCCAATCAAGGAAGACGAGGTCGTGACCGTTGACCCTCGTTATGTGCGCCGCCCCTCTTTGCGCACACGCGCCAGTGTAAAGGAGTTTGAGCCCCTGATCCTCAGTGAAGTGGACGATCAGTAATGCGCCCCGCCGGCTTGGTCGTCTTATCCAACAAATGCTTGATACTTTTGGACGAGCCGTGCATCTTTCTTCTTTTCTCTTTCTTTCTTTTTCGTTTGAATTGTCCAGTAGTTTGCACTCAGCACGGTCCAGTGCAATGGCTTTCGGGCCACGGTGGGTGCTTGTGCGTGTGATGCTGTTTTTGTTGACAATCCTGTCTCCGTAGCCGGCCTACGAGAGCCTGGGATATTCAATAGGCAGTATCGTTGTGATGTGGCGTTGATTTTTTCTGTTCATCTAGCTTCTCTCATCCCTCATTCCGTGTCAATACAATACATGTACTTGCAATAATTAAAACGATTGTTTCTGATTTGCTATGCGCCTTCCTGAAATTGACTGATGAAACGAAGCAGTGCTCCAGCGTTCGGAATCCAACTCGGCCACCAGAGAAGGGGTGTTGCCAGCTCCAAAAAGCATCGACTTTACTTTTTTTTTTTTTTTAAAAAAACCTTTTACTGTCTTTCATCGAATCTGATGTGATGTTATCCATCTTTTTTTTTTTTTCTTTCTTTTTTCCTTCTTCTTCTTGCAAACTGCTGCAAACGTGGTTTTGCCCGTTTTGCTCGATTTGCCAGCGCACGGTTTAAACCTGACTGCGCGCTGTGTGCTGGGAGTAGTGGAAGACTTGCGCGCGTCCAGCTTTGCAAAGGATTGCAACCCAGTATATTTGGCGAGCGAGAACACAGACACTGGATCAAAGCATTGGAAGAGTCAGTGACCCTTTTGCCAGGTCGCTCACCGATTAGCATGTCTGAGCCGCTCAAGCAAGCCGAGGAGGCCGTTGATGCAAACTCCTACGACGTGGCGGCATGGCACTTCATCCTCAACGAGGCGCCGGTTGGTACTTGATTGGACTCGTGCAAAGCAATCGTATCGACTCACTGGCTGCGCCTGCTTTTTGTCCACCGCCCCTGCATTCGCTTTGACCTACGGGCACACCATGCAGAAACAACCGATTGGCGAAGCTCGCCGGCTCTATGACAAAGCCCTGGAAGTTTTTCCCACAGCCGGAGCCATCTGGCGTGACTACCTGCGCATTGAGTTGCAGTTCCGGTCTGTACCTCGAATTTCTGCAACGTTTTACCTGCCATCCCAAATTTTGTCCTGTCTGCGCCCCCGTGATGTGTACCCGTTCGTGCTGTGCGCATGGCAATCCTGGTAGAAACTTTGCTCAAGCAAAGGAGCTTTTGGGCCGCTGCCTCAAGACATGTCCTCATGTCGAGGTCTGGATGCTTTACATCGAGTATCTCCAGCTCTCTGGCCAAGGCCAACCCCAGGATCTGGTAGGGATGCGTTTCCAGCCATCGGGCATCCATGAGGAAATGAAGGCGCTTGGCCTGCAACGGCACTTGGCCTCGCGTGGTCACTGTGGTGCCCGTTAGCACCTGTGTCCGTAATGTCTGTCTGTTTGTGAGGCCACATTTGCCTTCGAGGCCCAGAAATGCGAAAAAACACTTTGTTCACCGCTCTCCCTCATCTTTTGCTAGAAACTCGCCTATACCCAACTCTTCAAGAACGTGGGCGTTGATTTCAACGTGACCCCGGCTTGGCAGAATTATATCCGAGTCCTCAAGGTGAAAGCCTCAACTGCTCATCGTCAAGCGCACACCCGATCGCCATCGCATCCCAAGCGCGTCAATGCTCATTCGTGATCATCTGTGATATTCCATTCGACGTGCAGGAGTTGCCAGAGACTACAATGCATCAGGAACAGACGAAAACTGCAGAACTTCGCCAAGCCTATCTTGTACGTTTTCAAACACCTTCAAACACCTTCCCCAGCGCGCTCGATGGCCCCTCCGTCATGATGGCCCGTATCCGAAGCGTGTTCTGACGTGCGACCATTTCGTTCAAGTACATGACCATGACTCACAGTTTTGTTTTGTTTCTTCTGTTCGTTCTTTGTTGTTTGTTTTTTTTTATATAGGAGGCGCTAGCGAGTCCCAAGACCCACATTTCTCAGTTGCGCGCGGACCTGGATGCTTTCGCAAAGGTAATGCGTACACCCCTTGCATCGCTTCTCTTGGCACCACGCCTTGCATCGTGTCTGCGACATTGTTGCTCTCACTCAGGCCGATCATGGTTGCCGCCATGGTTATCATTGTTGTCCATGCCGATGCTGCCTTAGCCCCGAGGTCAAGTGGGGCGCAAGCTTGTAGACCTCGTATCTGGACCTTATGCCAAAGCGCTCACCGCTTCACGCAAGGTCGAGGGATTTGTCAAGGGTAAGAATTTCAGGCGATTAGATCGGGACGATCGAGCGCGCGAGCTCAGCACAACCATGAACCCACTTTGTGATATGTGCAGGTATCAACCGAGATCTTTTGGCTGTGCCGCCGACTCGCTCACCCATCTACGAGCACCAGCTGCGATGCTGGCAAGAATGGATTGCTTTCGAGCGCACAAACCCTCTGGTTTGTCTACTTGCTTGGTTTGCCACTTTTGTGTGATTCCCTCTGATGATGCAACAACAATGTCCTTGGGTTGACAGGCACTGGTGCCTGTGGAAATGGTGCAACGTGTCATCTGCATCTACCGACAATGCTTGATGTACTTTCGCTTTTATCCCAAGTGCGTGTCTTCACGCATTCGAGCCAGATGATGATAACCCCTCGGCCGCGCCGCCAGACCGGTGGCGGTTGAGGTCAACTCGTGTCGGTCGCTGATGTCGGTTGTTTGCCCATTGGCAGCATGTGGTATGATGCCGTGGCGTTTTTGGAGGAAGCAGCCGCTGATGCGCAGAAGCGGGTGAGAGTCGATTGTCTGAAGCCTTGGACTTACCTGTCTGCTGGTCTTCTCGTTGAATGGGAGGGGTGGGACCGCACAGCTAGCTTTGTTGAATTGTGATCTTGTTTCAGACAGAGCAAGACTCATGTACACGTGCTGTGCAGGGAGATACTCCGATGGCACAGCAATGGCTGAGTGAAGCCCGTTCGTTCTTTGAGGCCGGCATCAACGCGCTGCCCCAGAATTTCCTGCTGCACTTTGCTTTTGCTGATTGGTTGGAGGGCCAGGTGTGCTGTGCGCGCGTGACTTGCTGATGAGTCCCTGGCTTAGCCCCTGGCCTACTGGCAAAGGTTGATAAGCTTGAAGTTGGCAAAATTAATTGGGCCATGCCCAAACCTTTTGGACATACTCGCTAGGGACATATTGCAGATGCTCGCGAGGTGTATAATCGCCTGCTCGGCCAAAGGGACATCAACCCAGCCCTTCCCTTTGTGCAATTCATGAAGGTGTGCTTTCGTGGTTTCGCCTGTTTGATTCGGCGCCATGACCTGATACCGGCCTTGATTGTCTGCTGGTACTTTTCACGCGCTGTCGTCATTAAGATGGAGCGACGCGTGGGCTCGATTGAATCAGTGCGCAAGGTTTTCAAGCAAGCACGTCAAGACGAGCGCACCACTTTCCAGGCCTTCGTCGCCGCGGCCCTTTTAGAGCTCAATGGGTTGGTCTTGGCATGTCTCTGTTTGGATTGGCCACGAGCACGTGACCCCACTAATTGCTCGTTGTCTCGGCTCAACCACGAGCGCAGATCAGACAAAGGACGGGGCGTATGTAGTAAAATCTTTGAGCTGGCTGTGAAGCGCTTCCCTGAGGACCCTGGCCTAGCGCGCGCGTATTTGGCGTACCTCAGCTACCAGGGTGACAACAGCAATACACGCGCTCTTTTTGAGCGCGTACTTTCCAAATTGCCACGTATGACGCATGGCACCTTGCCTGCCCGGCCGATGCCCTGTCCGAACGCCATCTTACGCTGCTCATGTTGTCTGTCTTGGGGTGGGGCACCGCGCCTTGATCTTTGATAGCCGCTGACGCCGACGGCATTTTGCAGCGCTACATTGAGTTTGAGGGAACCCATGGTGATTTGTCTGCGCTCAAAGCTTTGGAGCGCCGGCGTCATATCACCCGTCTGGTGGTTGAGAAGAACGATGATCCCGAACGAGCCGCTCCCACCGTGGCGACCTTTGGTGATCTTGTGGTTGGTTCATACTCGTGCAGATTGCTTCGCTATGCCATGTCTACTGCGCGCGTTGCCATTCTCACGCTGCGGCTGTGTTCTGTTGTAGCACCGCTATCAATTCCTCGACCTTTTGCCCAGTGACCCAAGCTTTTTATCCGCCTTTGCGCCCGAAGCGGTACGTGGACAGCCGTGTGCTTTGCGCACAACAAGTTCTACCCAGCTCCATAAGCGTTGATACTGATGTTTGTGGGCCTGTCCGCACAGCTGAGCGCCGTGGCTACGGAGAACACTGCAACCTCGCTAGGCAGCAACAGCGTCGAGGGAACCGCGGTGCCTGCTGATATCCCAACCATGGATGCTGCCGTCCGCTTCTCCGAGTACCCTATGCCCGACACAGCACAGGTGAGGTCCAAGAGATGCCGCGCGTATTTGAGGGCAAAACAACCGTGGGTCCATATTGCCACCTTTGTCTGCGGCATGACCAGCCGCAATCGCGCTGATTGACCAATTGTCGACCTGCCAGGCGGTAGCATACCAGCCAGCCACCGATGATGTGGCCCTTCTTCGACTGCCTCGCCCGCGCCTGGTGGCCGAGCTCCTTACGCTGCTGCCCCCACCCGAGGCTTATACTGTGCGTCTGTTCGCTTTTTCCCTGACTGCGTGCTGTGTCTTGGGTGGCTCTGGCAACAGCCCTAACACGATTATTTTGGTATCTTGCATATTGGTATGCGTTGCTGCGCTGCTGTTTGCTCCACGACCACAGGGTCAGCACGTCGCTGTGGAGCCGCTGGTGCGCTGCATCCTTGAGCGCGATATTCCACAACCCAAGCAGTCGGAGGTCTGGTTTGCCTTGCTTCTTTTATCTCTGTGCGCTGTCGGGGGCTGCGCGGCCTCTGTTTTTGGTTTGTTTGTTTGTTTGTTTGTTTTTCTTCGCCTCACGAACGGGTGCATAGACGAGTGGCAAACGCGAGCATGACGATGCTGATGGGGAGGATGAAACGGGCGCCTACAATGAGGGTGCGGTGTCTGAGGCTGCGCTTACAACCCTCCCCCGTTTTTATTTTTTTATTTTTCTCGCTTGCTCTCATCGTGCACACCTCATGCCTTATAGACCAAGAAATGGACTTGTTTCGTCAGCGCCAACGTGTCAAACGCGACGCTTATTAGAGGGTCTGCCCCTGTCAAATTGAATTTGTCTGCAACTCTTGATTTCGAGTGCACTGCTTGGAACGTAGGAGAGGTCTAATGTGTGATTAGAGCAAGAATATCAATTTGTTCATGCGTCTGTGATAGCACACAAAAGTAGCGACACTTGCATGACCACTTGCGCGCGTGGACGGGTTGTCAAAGGGTTTGACCCCATAAAATGACTGCCACTGACACAAGACGCAGGATTGCTGCACAGCAGCAAAATCCACACAAGGGTTCGGTCCACATCGTAACCTCGAGCCCGCTCAACCACCCAGTGGGGCAGAGCCCCGACCGAGGGGTGGGGTGGTGAGGCAGAGCAAGATCCAAAGGTGAGCGCAGCAAGCGCGGGAACAAGAGCAAACGGGCGTTTTAAAAAAAGGTCAAGATCTGTTGCGCCCTGCATAGGGGCGAGGAAGCAAGCGGTGGGCAGACACTTGTGGTGACTCTGGTGAAACAGCGGGTTTACTTGAGGGCTTTGTTAGCCTTCATGTGCTCCAGAGCATTCTAACCCCCAGCCAGAGAGGGAATATTGCACAAATGAGGTTGCTCGAATCGACAGAGGTTTTTAAAAAAAAGGGTGTGTGTGTGTGTTGGGTTTCGAATCGACTAACCACATCAAACTGCTGGCGGTTCTCGCGATAGAGCTCGGCCAAGTCCATGCGCAGCGGGTGCTCCAGTTCGGGCGTGTTGATGATTTGCATGAGCTCCACCAACACCTGGGAGACGCGAGTGGCAGGCTTCCAGTTATCTGTTGCCACCACGCTCAGGCAAATTTGCGTGCCCTTCTCATCAACGTTCGGGTGGTAGATGGGAGTGATAAACTTGACCTGCGTGCGGATGGGGAAGGGGGGTTGCATGCAACAGAATGAGTTGATGGTGAAAGTCTCGTATCAAGGTCAAGGCAAACGTGTAAATTGAGGACAAGGCAGACATACGCTTGGGGGCTTGAAGGGAAACTCCGAGGGAAAAGTGATGCCGATGGTAAAGCGGCCCTTGTCAAAAGGTGCCTCGGACTATGTGGTGTGAAACGTCCACAGCCATGAGTTGATTCAAGATCAAGTAACAAGTCGAGCAGGAAAACACCATGGTACAATGCACGGCATTCTGGGATCACTGGGGACACAGCGACGCACGGGTTCGAGAACGGCTGTCCAATTGAACATGTTGGACTCGTCCATCTCAACCTTGGCCACCCCAGGAATGGGCTCCGTGGCCACCTTTTCAAATTCCTATGCATAAAAGGGTGGTGCCCAATGTCAAGCGAGGCGCGCAAATGAAAACAAGACCCTTGTTGGCCTTGTTGGCAACGGAACAAGGGCTCAGAACGGGGCAACCGTCAGGACTCCAGGTCGTTTGCTAACCTTGCCAAGACGCTTGGAAGCCATGTTTGCGATGGCGCGTACAATATGCTTTCTACGCACACGGCACCGTAAGGTAAAGAAACGTGCACCCCCGAGAGGCGTAACCCCTGTCAACCTCCCACTCGAGCCATCAAGCCCAGCTGACCGACACGCGACACGGACGAGTCGCCCCCGTCAAGCAGCTTTCCCGCCCCGCGCTGCCACTGACTGACCTTTGGTTTACGCACAGAAAGAGAGAGAGAGAGAGCAGAGAGAGAGAAAAATACGTCATCTCGTTCCACACACACACACACACACACACACATACATATCTTAGTCCTAAAATAGCTCGGACTGATCATGTCGAGCAAATGGAGCAAATTGATCATGCACAACGTCAGACTCTCTCTCTCGCTCTCAACTCTCTCGTGTGTGTGTGTGTGAGTGAGAGAGCTCGAGTTTTTCCTGTTCACGAGTTGCCCGCAAAGTTGAGCGAAGACCGTCGTGCCCGGTGATTGCCAAGTCGATTACGGCCTGCCCTCGTTGACAGAGTGCTGACGACCAGCACGGAGGACGATATTATACACGGAGACACGTGCACCCGACTTGCAGCTTTGTCTCTTGTCAACGCTCTTCTTTTGGTTTTGTGCGCCGACGTCTGGCTCGCCAGCTCGTCAGCACTTGGACGACTGCTTGCTCGTTCCAACCTCGCCCTTTCGAGAGCTGGATCAACGCCCCTGCCTCACACACTCAAGCTCCACCATGGCTCTCATCACCTCGGACGCCTATTTCAAACTGCTGGCACACGCCTGCAAGTATCCTTTTGATACCTGCCTGGGTCTGCTCGTGGGCCAGCGCGGTGCCGACGGCTCGGTCACGGTGCAAGACGTTGTGCCCGTTCTTCATTCCCAGCACCAGCTGGCCATGGTCATGCACGCTGCTCTGGCACAGGTACACTTTGTTCACCTCTTGATCAGTTGTCCGCCTGGCTTGCGCCTCCATTGCCCCTCCTTACCGTTGGCTCTTTATTGCCGTTGCCCCAACGTCAGGTCGACATGCACTATCAAGACTCGCCCGTCTCGCTGGTGGGCCTGTATCAGGTTCACGACCGTGTTGATGCCAAGCTTCAGTGCGTTGTCGCCGGCTCATTCCATCCACCCGTGCACAAACCTCCCCACATCAAAACCAAAAGTCATCGGCTCCTGGCGTGGGGGGTGCAGAGATACTCGCGCGTGCCAAATTGGTGCTGAGACCGGTCGCCCAGTTCATCTCAAGCCTGCCCACACGCTCACCGGTTCATCTGCCTTGATCATCAACAGGATGGATGCCGTGGCTCGCAAAATTGCCGCACGTCTACGCCAGCACAACCCCCATGCCGTGGCCCTTGTGGTACGGCTCGCCTTTGCCCACTCCCCGCCTCTCATTACTTGAGAGGGCTCGGCTTGTGCTTTGTTGAATATTTGAGCTTTCGCCGCTCATTGAACCCGGCATGTGGTCATGCGTCTATTCTGGTGCGTCTCCAGTTTGATAGCCAAAACCTGCAGCGCACCAGTGAACCAGCCGCCGCTCTCTTCACGCCGCAGGAGAAGGATGAGTGGATGCACATGTACGCACTTGCGCCCAAGCCCTGGTGCCGGTTGTTGCACCGCATTTGCCAGGTACAATGGACTCATCCCTATGAACCTTGCACCCATCACCAGGTCTCAAACACCCCTGCAGTTCACCGACAGCGACGAAGGATCTCGAGGCCAGGTTAGATGACACGCTCGAGAGCTAGCTTTTGCGATCCGTGCAGCCGCTCACCATCAAGCTGACCATGACTTTGATCGACCTTTGTGTGACCCAACACTTGAATGTGCTTAGCGTCTCAGCAAGATGCTCGAGTCGCGCAGCTACGAGCAGATCCACGACTTTGAAGAGTTTTTGGCAGACGGCACGAGTGACTATTTGAATGCGCGCTTTGCGTAAGCTGGACCGACAATGGCAACCTGGGTAACATAGTCTCCCGTCCGTGCCTGGCTAGCCTGTTGGCACTGTTTAAAAACTTAAATACAAAGGAATTGCACTTGAAAACACGACCACACCGGTGTTTGTGATCATGACGAGACGACGGGATACTGAGCTGGGCCGAGGCCATGTGCTAGAGTCACGCTCGATTGATGGCCGTGTGGCCTGACTGGACTACAGGGCACGCCGCAGGCGTCGCACACAAAGCCAAGGGCTAAAACACAGGGCCTCAGCCGCCCCCACACGCTGGCAGGCGCAAGCGAGTGGGTGACCAAAAGTTATCAGATCAAAAAGCAGAGACACAAAGGCATGGTGGCCAGCCAAAAGGGGGCCGTCAGATGGGAAGAAAAGACAAGGAAACCTTAAACACAGAAACTTGACACAACGCCCAGTGCAGAGAGCAGCGGATCAAGCCTAGATGCTTGTCCTGAGTGGTAACGCCAAGCAAGCGATAAGACAGCCAAAACATTCAAAAAAAAAAAAAAAAGGAGGGGAGAGAACACGGAAGCAAACAAAAACAGGCCGCTCGCGACGCGAAAGGCTTAATCCAGAGGACAACCCCAACGACTCTACTGTGCCGCAATCGGGGCAGCTCCTGACGGGGCGGTGAGCGTGGTGTCGGTGTTTTCCGGCTTTGACGGAGCATCAAAGCCGGCGCCACCCAACAATTGATCCATTACAAAAGAAAACGCCACAAAGGTGGCGCAGCCAAAGAGCGCCGGGGTAGGACCAGCACGCAGGCCCATGATGCCACCCGTGAAACAGGCCGCGCCTGCCGTGTTGACCGAGTCGTGTTTGGCCCGATGCTGTCCAGATGAAGGGAGCATGGAAGGGAGCATGGAAGGGAGCATGGAAGGGAGCATGGAAAGGCACAAGGAAAAGCAGGCGCCCAGGCAATTTGTGTGAGAATTGTGGTGCACCGTCGTCGGGCGTCAAGCAGAAGGCTGCGCACCACATAGCGGCACCTTTTGATCACGTACCGATTCGATCAAACATTCCGAGCCGGCAAACATAAAACCGATAAAGGCAAAGGATTTACCATAAGACCAAGCGCGAGAGCCAAGCTGTCGGCCCATGGACCTGCAATAGGGGCAAGGCAGAGAGACGTGAGTACATGTGCTTGCACGACAAGGCCATCGGGTGTGCGCACCCATCGACGAACCTGATGGTTTCGCGGGTGGTCATGTTGGAGCGCTCCTCGAAAGAGGGCTGGCCCGGCACCTGCATGCCAGGCACACTGTAGGGCATAGAGACATCCATGGAAGCGAAGAAGACACCCATACCCGCACCAAGCACACCACCACCGACAAAGGACATGGCAGCTTTCATGCCGCAGCTCTCGAGGACGGCCTTGATGGTCTCCTCCGTTGGGTTGACCATGGTGCTGTAGTCCATGGCGGCGGTGCCTCTCTTCTGCAGCAAGCCGTTTGACTCAGATGGGGCTCAGTCAACAAAACAACGTAGGAACCACTTGGGGCTGCTCCGGACCAAGGCAACGACCGAACAACGCTTTCGATGCTCTGAACGTCGTCGCAGCAAAGCGGGTGCGCCGTCGCGATGAAAATCAGCGCAACGCAGGTGCACGCGGCTCGACCATTTCCGAGAGTCATTGTCAGACGCTCTCTAATGTTACATCATCTGACAATCGGTCCGCCAGCGCCGTGTCGCACTATGTTACACATTTACTTCCAAGGCAGTAAGGCAGTGAGACCGCGGATTTCAGCAATCGCAACGCGAATCCGTTTGGGACGGGTTTTCCCTCTGTGACCCATTCACTGACTGGTCGTCACACCCACACAAACACCGTAATCAATAGGGACAAAGGTGACTGAGGCATGGCTTGCACGTACTTGCCCTTTTGTTTGTGTTTCTCTTCTCTCCTTTCTCTTCTCTCTCCCTTCTCTTGCTTTGTTTGCTTTGTGTGTGTGTGTGTCTCTCTCTCTCTCTCTCTCTCTCTCTCTCTCTCTCTCTCTCTCTCTCTCTCTCTCTCTCTCTCTTCTCTTCTCTTCTCTCTCTCTCTCTCTCTCTCTCTCTCTCTGTGTCTTGCTTCGCTTAGCTCGCGGGGTATGCTTATTTCCCAAGACGACCATCGTTAAACGGCTGATCGACAGGTGCGTTTGGTGCTCCCTCTCCTGTCTCTCCTGTGCAGGCCTCGGGGACATGACGATAAAGGACAACTCAAGGAAGATCGCTGCGCTCGATCCACACCGCCAACCTTTACTCAGGGTTGACCTAGAAACGACAACTTACGACACGCCTTTCTCCGCTGCTGCCCCTACACATCGCAGCAAAATACCCAAGCCCACTAGCAACATGTCGGACAAAGCCAAGCGCGATGCCGCTCAGCGCGATGCGGATGCCGCTACTGAGGCCAAGCGCGCTGCCAAGGAGGAGGAAGAGGTTGAGGAGGAGGTCGAGGATGACGATGAGGGCGAGGATGATGGTGATGACTACGATGAGGAGGAGGATGAGGACTTTGATGAGGATGCCGAAGACGACGACGGCGAAGACGATGACGGCGAGGGCGAGGATGATGACGAGGAGGACGACGGTGGCGACGATGACGAGGAGGAGGGCGACGAAGACGAGGAGGAGGAAGATTAAGCAGATTCCAATGACCTAGCGCTGCTTGCTTATAATTGGCCTGGTGCCTGCGCCCTGCCCTGCCTGGGCCACTCACCAACGGGCTCTTGTTCCTTCCCCCTTGAACCTTTTCTTCTTGAGGATCCGTTTCGCTGATTTCCCGAGTGATAATGATTGAAAAAATATGAGCTTACGCCGGAACGTGAGTGCCGTCGTTGGCAACGCTCAAGAGGGACGCCCCTTGCTTGACGGCTCTGGCTGACGGCGCGATGTGCATGAACGTGACCCCCCCCCCCCCCCCCAAAAAAAAAAAAAAAAGAAAAAAATTTAACGAGTACTGGTCTCGATCCATCTCAGCAATCCTGTCTGCAACTCCCCTGCCCAGCCGATCGATCTCCCACGCGTGCGCGCGCACGCTGTGTGTCCTGGTTCTTTGATCACACACACACACACACACACACACACACACACGAATCTGTGGTTCAGTGGCTCTGGGCTCTTATGACGAAAGACGGAGACGAGATAGATATGGCCGCAACAGCAGTTGCCAACGCCTTGACGTCACAGTGTAGCAAACACCACACTTCCACATGTGATTTTAATTTTTTATTTTTTTTTCACTTTTTTTTTTTTATTTTGATCAAAAATTTCGAAAAGCGCGCGCACCTTGGTCGCTGTCGATCGCGCGCCTCGTGACCTCTTCTTGAGGTGAGGGACAAACAAGGTTTCCTGGCCGACAGGCTGGTCATGAGCCAGCCGCTGTCTGGCCTCGATAGCTCCTACGTTGCCTTTGCAGACGATCCAGACGAGCCTGAATGTGTGTCCAACATTCGCACCTTTCCCATCTCCATGGACATCAGCAATGGCATCAATGGGGGAGAGGAGGGCATGCCCCTTCTCAACAGCTCCACCGGCAGCACGCAAATGATCGACAATGAAGACTTTGAGCTTTTGCAAATCCGTTACGAGGAAGCCGCCATCTTCCTCACCGAGGGCGACAACAACATCAAGTTTGAATTTCATCCCAAAAACCTCCTCCAGCTCCGTGCCTACAACCGCGTGCACCATTGGGGCTACAACGCCCTCGACCTTATCGCAGGCCTCGCCATCCTGGGTCTCGCCATGTTTGAACGGCCCTCCCTGAGCCACCCCTTTGGTATCCTTCAGCTTGTACCTCACGAAATCATCGAGCTGTTCTGCCTCATTGCCCTTGCCATTCGCATCATTCTCATGTGTGACTGGCTGGGCTGGCGCAACGCGCTCAAGCAACCTCGCACCCTTATTCGCACGCTTATTCTCGTCGGCCTATTCGCCGAGAGTCTTGTTGTCCTCTTTCGAAACAAGGATCATTTTCGTGTGCTTCGCCTCCTCCGACCGTACTTTCTGATTGACAACCCATGGATGGCCAACGTGCGCCGGGTCTCCCGGCAGATCGTGCAATCCATGCCCCCCATCATCGACATGCTCTTTCTCTTGCTTTTCTTCATGAGCATGATGGCCATCATGGGATATTATCTCTTCTCCAGCAACGATCAGGACGATGGCTTCTCCACCCTCTCTGCTGCTTTTGTCTCGCTCTTTATCCTTGTCACAACGGCCAACTATCCCGACGTTCAAATGCCCGCCCTGTCCTCGAATCGCTGGTATTTCGTCTTCTTCCTCGTGTACCTCATCATTGGACTCTACTGTCTCCTCAACATTCTCCTCGCCGTCGTCTATGACGAATTCCGCTCGCAAGAACGCATCAAGTTCCAAAAACTCTATTTGCACCGTCGTGCTGCCATTCGCCACGTATGTCTCAGACCCCGGTCACGCTCTGCCTGCGCCATCCCACACGCACATTTTGCTGTCTTGTCACCGGCTTGCTCATGCATGCGAGGCCTGTCAACCCTCTGCGCCAACGACCTCAAACGCAGGCTTACCGCCTCCTCAAGGATGATCGCTACGGGGGTATACCCCTCGATAGCTTCCGAGGCTTGATGAAGCACCGCAAGCGCCGCTTTACCCCGTTGCAAGTCAAGCTCATGTTCCTGGCCCTTAACCAGAGCGAGAGTGGTGCCATCAACCTTCGGGTTTGTAATCACTTACACCTGCGTTGGAAACGGTCCCTCGTCTTGCGCCCAGCACCCACACCAATCCTGCTACCCCGTTTCCGCTGCGCTGTAGGAGCTATACAACTTTTATATGTACGAGACCTTGGTCTGGAAGCAGATCAAGAACGATGACGAGCATCATGGGTTTTTCAGGTCCGCCCCACGCGCCTTACACTGCACCGCTTCGTCTCACCCGCGGCCTCGCGCATTCCTTCCTCATGCGACCCCTTTTCGATTCTGCCAGTCGCTACAACCCAATGACCTTTCGCCAGATTCGCAGTCGTATCCGTGATGCAGTTCAGCATCCCATCTTCAACTATGGCATGGGCTTTATCATCCTCCTGAACACGTAGGTGCCGAATCGTCACGCAATTAGGCCCTTACCGAAGCAAGCCTCGCAAGTGCTTCAAGTGCTCCACGTAACCTGCGCCTGCGACTCAATTGCTGGTGGTGTCGTGTACCAGGTGCTTGGTCTTCTATTACGCCGGCATTGTCTCCGCAGAAGATGCGCGGCAATCCAGGTACCCCGAAACACAGACTATTGATACCATCTTCTTGGTCGTCTTCTGGCTGGAAATTGTCATCAAGTTTGTCGGCTTGGGGCCCTGGGATTACCTCCGTGATAACTGGAACCGGCTCGACCTTTTGGTGACTACCTTGAGCACCATTGGATTGCTCTTGCCCAATTCAACCAACATCTTCCTCTCGCTGCGTCAAATTCGTATGCTGCGCCTTTTCAAGGTCAAAAGGCGTTTTCGCGAAGTGAGTGACCCGGCCTACTGTCACAAACCGAGCAAAGCACTCGCTTTCCGCTAGGCTTGACCTGACCTCAATGGTCTGCCGTGCACATAGGTTCTTGGCACCGTCTTCTCCCTTGTCCCCATGCTTTCAAGCTATATTGTAGTCTTGGTTTTGGTTTACTATTCGTTTGCCATCATGGGCATTGCTCTGTTTGCCGGACGCGTCTACCCGGCAAGTCTCAAGCGGCTGACACTCACGCGCCTCCCTTCCACTGCACATCTACCGAGCCCTATCGGTCAACCGACTTGCTAAGCTCCTTTCTGTCATGCTCTTCTGAATTAGGGTTGTTGTGGTGACTACTACTCCAATGCCACCGCGGTGGACCGCTACTACCTGAACAACTTTGATGATATCTTCAACGCCTACGTGACTCTATTTGAGCTGATGATTGTCAATAATTGGTGTGTAGTTGTTTTTTCTTCGTCTTTCTCTCTCTCTCTCTTTCTCTCTCTGTCTCCCTCATCTTTCGTAAACTTGCTTGCGCAGGTTTGTGATCATGAACGGCTTTGTAGCAGTGACCAACACGTGGGCCCATGCATACTTTATGCTCTTCTACATACTCACGGTGGTACGTCCCATCCGTTCTCAAGCCAAGTATGGCGTTGGATGCGATGCAACGAATCCTCACACACCTTGACGCCCTGCTTATTCGCTTGCCTACTCTGATTGCGTGCTTCCCTCATCCAACGTAGAACGTGGTGTTGAATGTGGTGGTGGCGTTTATTCTCGAATCATTTGCCTCTCAAACAAATTTTCAACGTTCTCTTGAAGATGGCACGGCAGAGGGTTGGTTGCTCGTTGAAGTGCATTCAAATTATGTTGTCTGTTTGTCTGTTTGCCTGTTTGTCTGTTTGTCTGTGTCCACGGGAGCCTCATAAAGTGACGGATGCATTGGTCTCGGCTTGCAACTTGCACAGCTCGAGCTGATTCAAATGTGGCCACTTTAGGAGATGATGGAGTCCTCGAGGTGGTGCAAGTGCGGCTTTCACGCTCAGATATGGATGACGAAAGTGAACCGTTTGGAGGTGACGATTTTATACGGGCTGATGAAGAGGAAGTGGTCTTCCAGGGCTTGCGGCACCACAACATGTATGATTGCCAGCTCCTCATCTTTCACGATGAAATCAAGACCTGGTGTCATGAAGACGAAGTCATGCGGTCAAGGTGAGATGCTTGATCGTTACTTTTCAGCGTTTCAGCTGAGTTCTGCCTACAAAAGGGTTTCCATTTGCCGGCCGGGTGGTTTGTCTCCTATCTCCGAGCTCACTCTGTCGCCTTTGTTTGGTCGTTGTCAGCTTGGAACCCTTGATAGCGAATCGTGGTCGTCACATCCAGACCCTATCCGATTCGTTCAAGCGTGAACGCCGTTTGGGTCGCTACAGTCCGCTCTTTAGCAATAGCAACAAAACGGTCATGTTCACCACCATGATGGGAGAAGCCATTCATCGCCTTCCTTGGGTGCTGCCCTCCTTCGAGACACAACGCTTGCACGAGACTCTGGATCAGACAGACTTTCGCGTACTCCGACAGGCCGGTAGCAAGTGGCCCCGCCCATCCATTTTAGCCGCTGCTGCCCCGCTCCTCCACCAAGGCTCAGTCCCATCTTCGCCGACCCCACCTACACGCCAAACGCCAACCCGGGGCAATGCATCTCTAACGCCCGACACTTCGTCCGAAGTCAGCGCGAGCTCCGCGCCGCCACGCCGCTCACGTCTTCATACCCGATCGGAAGGAGCTGTAACCGGGCCCTTTGCCACACATCAGCTGGCAACAATGGCTGTTGAGCCTGGTGAAGATGGCCTCCGACAGCGATCTCGAACACAGGCATCTTCCGATGTGCCTTTACGCCGCCTGGACGGCTCCGCCCCTCTCTCTGAGCAAAGTCTCATGGACATAATTCTACAGCTACGACGCTTGCCGGACATGGATCGCCGCTCGATTTTGTTGGCACTGCAAGCGGACCACGATCCCATTGACATGGTTCGAAATCAACCCGCAAGCCTTGATAACGAGTCTCAAGAGGATGACCTCGATTCCTCCACTGCATAATGATTGAGTTGCATGTCTGTTTATAACATGCTGAGCTGCAGAGCAGCCCCTGTACTTTGGAAAGCGAGTGCTTTCATTTTTATTAATTTCTCTTCTTTGTTTTGTCGTCGGAAGAGATCAATTGAGGTAGTAGGACGGCATTTGAGGAAAACGGTCGTTTGAAGGAAAAGGTCCAAGTGCGAGCTTTGATGAGACCTTGGCGAAGCTTCTTGGATTGGTGGTGCAATCTAGTCTTACTGCATCAAGAGTTCGAATGGGTTCTTCGGCGCCGCGCCGCTGGCGTTTGCTCCGGCCTTTTTCTTCTTCTTCTTGTTACTCTGGCTAAAAAATTTGGCGATAGAACCAACCAAAGAGGCAGAGGCAAATATCAAATGGAGCCCAATGCAAGCATGGCTCAAAAAAAGTCTAGACGTACCCGCTGGAAGCAGCAGCAGCAGCAGCCTCCGTCACGAGGCCCTCCTTGTGCGTCAGATTGAGCAGACACCACAACGGCAGGGACGCGCCACGAAAATCCCGACAGCTAACCAAGTTCGTAGCACATACAATGAATCAAATCAGGGTTGTGAGAAAAAGGCCCCCCTACCACCACGACCCAGCAGGTTGGCCACGTGTTCCACAAAGCACGCCATGACCTTCAACAGGCGGGCATGAACGAAGCACCTACCGATTGCCCAGGTTGCTACCCCCAAGGAAGGGCTCATCAAAAAGAATTTCCGCCATGCCCTTCCACAGCCCAACGACGGTACCGCGGTGTCCAAACGGAACCGCGCCGTACGACCGTGCATTCACCACACGATCACCAAGGCGGAAATCAGACTACCATCAAGGCATCCCGAGGCAGCAACAGTCACGTGAGGTTTGGGCACGCGATTGATCTCGCGTTTGATGCTCCTTTTTTTTTTTTTGGTTTTTGTTTTTGTTTTTTTGTTGCCAACATGCGGCATGACCGTAAAAGGCGCACCTTCTTGTCAACACGTCCATAAGCGATGGGCAGCAGGGCAGCCGAGAGCGCCAGGTTATCCACTGTGACCGCCCGACCTGATGATTGCTGAGCAAAGAAACGCAGAAAAGTGACATAAAAGTGTGAGCTATTCTTGTCCGTACCCCACACACGTGCATAGCCATGGAGTGCGGGGTGCACAGAATACCCAAAGACGGCCCACTTACTTGTTGCACGGCCTGCGCTCGCTCTTCGAGTGCAACGATCGAGGTGGTGGGCAAGGCCCGGCTAGTTGATGGTGCTAGCGGCAGCTTGGACGACGGCTGCTCAGCAATCCAGCGGAGAATCTCAATGAGGCGTGCAAGGGGCTTGTCATGGTTCATGAACAAGCGATACACGTTGTAGGTGTCCTCCTTGGGCGACGCTTCCACCGCCTCCAATAAGTCACCGCATCGCTCCTTGAAAGCGCGAAAAAGCGCGACCGCTTCTTCGGAAAACTCCCACACCATCTGCCCTTCCCGGCGCGGATCAGCCGACTGACGACAATACTCGGGTACAGACATGCGGCGACGCGCGTATTTCAGACCCAATCCCAGGCATACCACGTTATCCCCATCAACGGCCACCATGATGGCGCCCGCCAACCGAGACAACACTAGCGAACTGATACCCACATCACGCGCCACATCGTGCGCCTTGATCCAGCGTGCGCGACGATGTGCTTGCTCGCTGGCTGCCTTTTCTAAGTGCTGCAAGGCACGACTCTCCCTGTCAATCAGGACTTTGACGCTGACGCTCTTGAGCTCACCGCTGCCGGACTTGCGCTGGTCCACAATGCTAGCCACGTAACCGTATTGTGCCTCACCCAGCATGATCACGCGCTGGGTCCGACCCCATCGAGAATCAACTTTGCCGGCTTCGGCGGCTGAATCCACAGCCATGCCCTCGACGAAGCGTGGATCGGCCCGAGGTGTCGCGCGGGGAATAACGTGAACAGGCACACGCACTGGCTCCTCTGCAAAGACGTGAGTCACGCGGCCGGCGCTGTTCTCCTGTACACCAATCACCGGCGACACCTCGAGCAGCATCTCCACCTCTCCCACGTCAATGCCCTTTTTGGTCAAGAAATGACGCTGTACCTCACCAACTTGCTCGCTCCATGGACGATCTGCCGGGCCCTTGTTGATATGACCTCGCTTGGTGATGCGCCATGCACCCTCTACGTCGATGGCTGCCTCAACCCGGGCCATGCCGGGGTATGGATAGCCAATCATCTGTGTAGTTCCCAGCAACACGCGGGCTAACTGCGCGCGGCGGGCTTTAGCAATCACAACCGCAAGATCAGCGGCCTTGGTGGGATCGGCGCGCGCCTCGGTAAGGGCCTCGCGCTCTTCTTCAGATACGGCTGTGGGCATGGTCTGGCCAGACTCCAGAGCCATGATAAGAGAGTCCAGCTTGCTGGGATGCGAGAGTGTGCACACACCAACCGCTTCGAGGCGACAAGAGGCCCGCAAGAAGCGGAAGGTAGGCCAGGCGGGGGGTGGGGCTACCAGTCCCACGTGGCAGCCAGCCGGCACGCGAGGTACAAATTTGCCGCCCGGGATTGGCCAAGGCGCGAAAGGACGCTGAGCCACGCGCACCTGTTGAGTCTCCAGTGGTGAGGCTTTCGGGGCTGCATTGGTAGTTTGCACACTGGAGTCGAAGCGGAAGAGCAGGGCGTTGCGCAGGGTGTTACGCTCCAACTCAGCCTCGGTCAGGGCTGATTGCTCCACGGCAGCGCGGTAATGAGTTCGAAGTGTGGCCAAATCCATAGGAGGGATGATGGCGACATCACGCCACTCCCGACCGCGAGGGTCAGGGATGATGGGATAGTCAGCGGGATAGTACTGTTGCAAGTCGGAGGTCATGAGAGCAGCCAGCTGCGGCGGCAACAACTGAGACGAAGCGGGTGGCAGGACTGCCAAAAGCTGCTCAAACGGCAGGACGGGCTCGCTAGCAGAAAAGCCAATGTCTGAACAGGTGTCCAGGTGGGCCAAGACCAAGGAAGGGAGAGGAGCTGCGTAAAAAGGATACATCCAAGTCCAGGAGGCCACGCCTTGCTGGAAATAGTAGTGCAGAGTCCAGTGCAGGCCGCGCAAATATTCACGGACAACCTTGCGCGAATCAAATGGATGTTCATCCTTGCCGTCATGAAAGGCTTTGAACTTGACTTGCAGATACGAATCAGAGTCGACAATGCGCTCCATGCCGCGATGGTGGGCTGTCTTGGCTTGCTCCTCTGCTGCTGCTTCGGCTTCCTGCTCACCCTGGTTGGTGGGGGCTGTTGTCTCGGTCGATGTCTCGCCGCCAACTTGAGCGGATGCGAGCTGAACGTCTCCCATCTTCTTCAGCAACCCCTTTAGCTTGTCGGTGGGCGTAGCCGAAGTAGAAGTAGCCTGCGAAAACTCGCACGAGGAAAAGAAAACCCTTTATGAAGAGACAAAAGGCTTGCTGCTTTTGATCGAGTCCTGTGTTAATCCCAGCAGATATGCACAGACATTGCCAACAATGCTCACCTCTGAAGCGGGAGCTTTGGCTCCCTTCACAAGGCTCAGCAAGCGGGCCGAAGCGCTTTGCGCCTCGGCCTCGGCCTGCTCTTGCGTGGGGGACGTGGGATGCGGGTCTGGCTGGGTAGCTTGAGCCGCCTGAGCTGCCTCGCGCTGGGCAGCGGCCGCTGCCTGGGGGCGGTGTTTGCGCATGTATTCCTTGTGTTGTTGCTGCAACCGCTCAAAGACGGCGTCCTCGCGCTGCACAAACTGACCAAAGACCTTTGCACCCCAAAGAAGATATCGCGTGCAATGAGATCACAGCCCATGAATCGAAGGTTGAAAGGATATGATGAAGCCAGATCGGGGCGCGTGGGAGGATTTCGGCTTGGAATACGAGCAACGTACCTCGCGCAAAAAAGCTGCATTGACGGACGGGTCGGCTGCATTAATGAGATAATCACAGCCCGCATCCGGGTTGCGCGCTGCGCGATAAGCATTGAAGATGGCGTCTAATCCCCCGTCATCCAAGTCCGATGTGGGCAGGCAAGGTAAAAAGTCATTGCCCAAGAAGAATCTGCAACATCAGAATTATACGACCGTCAAGGTGAGCAAGACAGAAGAGTGCAAAACGCAAGCCGTCGTGGATGGCGTAGACGTTGTGGGCGAGCTGAGGTGCAGGTGACCATACGTAAGAAAGATAAAGTCGTCGATCAGTCGCTCCAGGTGGTCACGCTCCGCTTGCACCATCTCAACCAAGGAAGCAGCATCGCCCGCGAGCCGATCGGGAAGGGAAGGGCGAATCTGCAGAAGGCTCAGCTCCTTTTCAATATATTCGCGAAGAAGGCCCACATGCAAAAGCTGCCGCTCGTCGGTTTGCTGAAAGCTGCTCTCCCTCAGGTCTTGATCGTTCAGGACCTGCGTTGTGTAACCTGCATGTGAGAGGGCGAGTGCCTCGTGCTTGTGAGTCCATGAACATGCAACTCACGTTTTTACTGTTGAAAGAGCGGCGAACAGTATTTTCGCGCAAAATGGCAAAGTGGGGTTCGTGCGTGGCCAGGGCCAGCATGATCAGATCGGCATCCAAGCTGCGTGTCAGAAAGCACAGCAGAAGCGGTTTTGCGTGAGCATAGGGTAACATCTGAAAGTTTGTGCCAAGGAGGGTGTTCTCGTCAGACATGACAGTCGCTTTGGCCGTAAAGTGGCCAAACAAACTTACCCATGAAGGCAATGCCGAGTATTTGGGTCATAAGCTGGCTGCGACTTGAGTGAACGAATAAAGTCCATAATCTTATGCTCGCCCTCGCCGGGAACCTGGGCAGCCATGGTGAGATATCGTGATGTTGCACGAGGAACATCATATCATGAATGAGTTGGAAGCAATGCATTGAAGACACACGATCGGTAGTACCTGGTGACCGCTCAACACCACCTCGACCTTGCGCCAATCGTCATCCTCTTCCAGCTGACATGCGAATGCGACGCAGGAACAGACGAGGCGAGCCAATTTGATGGTCATGAACACGCGCAAGAAAAAAGAGGCACCGCGCCACGCAGGAAGCACATTGCTAAAGGCACCTTGCGCTGGATGAAATAAACGAGGTGGCGCTGGAGAAGGTCCATAAATTCCTGCAAGCATGACATACATTAGACATTGCCGCTGCACGAGTTTCCATGCAGTGGATACACAAGGCGATTTGGAGTGTTGTTTCCCGAACATTTAGCCCGCCGATTCGGCGCATAGTCCTGACGTACCGTGCCCGGGGTGATGCAATTGCTGTCAAAATGTTCCTCGGGCATGGGTGGGGCCACGACGGCCGTGATTTGCTGGGCGGCCTCGCTGTCCTCTTGATCCTGCTTCGGCTGCATCCGCACAGCAATGGTTTGCGCCGAGAAAGTCCACAGAAGATGAGCCAGGACTAACCATCCCGAGTTGATGTCCACAAGCGCACGCATGGCCGCACACAGTAGGCGTGGACAGGGCGAGGGCTCGCCGAGCAGGCCAGTAAACGCACCCGAGTAGCTTTGAACCGGCGCTGGCGTTGCTGTTGCATCTTGGCGCGCGGTGCCTACGGAGCATGAAGTGAGGACTATCAAAGGATCTGGTCGTTCATTCCATCGGGCTGGCTTGTGTGGGGTTTCGAGTCAGCATCACGTACAACGCCATCGATGGCAATGTAGAGGAGACGCTGGGGACGGATAATGTCGAAGAGCGTCTGGATCTCGTGAAAAATTGCCATCATCATGTCCTGAGCTCAGGGAAAACGGAATCATGGGCATAAGGACGGACAACCGGGGCAACCGCGGTGAAGCGAGAAGGGGTCTACAAGTGCAGGCATGAGCTGTGCACATCTACACATGCCCTGGCGTGAGTTGCACTGACTTGAGACGACTTGCGCACATCGCCCTCGTTGCCATGAGTGCAGTTGTGCACAATGCCGTTAAAATCGAGATAGAAATTGTCAAACTCCGGCATGGGATGCTCCTCCGTCCCACGCAGAATGGCTGGGTACCGCTCCACCAGCAGCTTGAACAGCCGGGGTACACCCATCCTGTCGGTCTGGTCTGTCTGCCCCACCCCAAAAAAAAAAAAAAAAAAATGAACAGAACACACACACACACACACACACACACACACACACACACACACACACACACACACACACACACACACACACACAAATTTGACGAAAGAGGGTTACGGAAAAAGAGGGTGGTCGTCTCGATTTCGATCCACGCGTGTGCAGACAAAGACAGATGGATGCACATGGGTCCGGTGTGGCCGTGACAACAGTAGAGAGCTCAGGCAGCGCATTTCGGATGGCTGTCAGTGTGTGTGGTGTTGGCGTTGGTGTTGGATGGTCTGGGTATTTGTGTCTGAAGGAAGACATATTCAATTGTCATTATTGCAATTCAAACCTACAAGCACACGCACGACGCTATCAAGACAGTTGCTCCACATGCTTGCGCGTGGTACAAAGACAAAAAAGGATGAAAGCGGCTATCACAAGTCACGACTCGGGGCGGACGGAAAAGAAGACACAGAGTAGGGGTTCATGCAGAAAATCGTTTATGCTTTAGTGGCTTTGGCTGCCTCAGCGCGCTCGGCCTTGCGTGTCTCGTAGCGCTTGAGTCCGAGCTCGAAGCGTGCGCGCTGAGAATCGGTCCGAGGCTCAAAGGCTGGAACGTCCTGCACGCGGTAGCTCCGGTCCAGGCTAACAAAGGTGAAGATGGAAGTCGCAGCCAAGGATTTGGTTTCCTTGTTCAAGGACTGCGCATACACGTTCACCTCCACATCCATGGACCTATGGGCGAGTCAAAAGGCCGAGCGGAGAGTGGCGGGCATGGACATGCATGTGCATAGACACGTTGAGTCGTAATGCGGCGCTATCAAACTCCAAGCAAAGTGCAACAAGGGCGCTGGCCCTCTGCAAAAAGTTGTGTCATAGAGGTCCAAAGAATTTACACGCACCGTTTGCTAGTGAAGACGGGGCGCGCTGCAATCTCAAGCAAGTCGCCGTTGTACAGGGGAAGCATAAAGTCAACAGCCTCGAGAGATGCAGTCACAGCGTTGGAGCGGCAGTGACGGACTGAGACGACACCAGCTGCTGTGTCCACTGTTTGTATTTGTATGTTCAAAGGGGGCAATTGGATCAGCCACACGCGTGAGCAAAGTCAGCTGGAAACGGAAGGGTGGCGTAAAATAGGTCACGAGAACGAGAACATACTCAGCTTGAGGACAGCACCGGCTTGTGCGACACCATTCGCATGGCAATCGCTGGGATGCAGGACGTGAATCAGAGTGGCATCACCCTCCTCAACGGGATGCTGGCTCGCGATGGTGTCACGATCATCGCCTGGGGTCGAAAGGAACAATGCCAGAGGTGAGCAAACACTCTCCCTCGGATGAACGTCTGTGGTGCTCCGTGCTGGATAGCCGGTTTGAAACGAGACTTGTCAGGTGGGCGATGATGGCACGTACGAGATTGCTTTTGCTTCTCATAGCGGGCAAGACCGGCTTGCATTTCGGCCTCGGAAGCGTATTTCATCCGAGGGACGGCCATGACAGGATCCTTCTCAAGGTCGCGGCTACCGGGCATGTTTTTACGAGGATCCTGGCCAAACGAGTCCAGAAGTCGCGACACGGCGTTGCCACCGTTGCGAAACTCCTTGGACACGTACCAAGCACGAGCTCGGTTGGTTGTGCGCTTCTGTCCCGTCATGACGTTCTCGGCCACGACATTGACCTCAACCTCAATCGAGTGGGGTGAGGTGTGCGTCACTTGCGCTGTCACCTCAGCAATCTCACCAATAAACCTGCGAACGAGGAAATTGGCAAAGAAAAACAATGAGATGAGACAATGACAATGGCATGTGCTTCTTTTTCCCTTGAAGGCAACAGAAAGGGAGGGAAAGGAGGAGGCCTACATGGGCTTGAGAAAGTCCACTTTCTCAATGCGGGCCAGTGAAGCACAAGCAGGCTTGGCATCCTTGGTGTGCTTTTGATTCATGTATCGGGTTGCGGCAGTCCAACCAGCCTGATCAAGCAAAAGGAGGCATTAATGCAGCGATAGGAGACGGGCTAGGTGCGCTGGGCCATGGACGCACGCACGACCAGCACCACCAACAAGGCTGGCTTGACGGCGGAGCCCTTGCGAGGCAGCGGACACAGCAGGGCTCGGATCACTCACCTCGTCCACCATGGAGAGGATGGTGCCACCGTGAACGTTGCCAGCTGGGTTGGCAGCATCAGGGAGCATGGCCCGACTGACGGCAGCGGTGGAGGGTGGCTGGCCTTGGTCAAACGGCTGATCACTGGCTGCTTGGGTGGAGGCGAGGGCTTCGGCATTGTTCTTGGGCAGATGAGCTTTCTCGGCCTGAGTTTGGTCGAGGCAGGCAGCGCCCACGGCAGATGTAACGGCAGCAGCCATGAGGGCGCGGCGGTAGTTCGTGGGCTTGGAGTTGGTGCGGTTGGCGTTGACGTCTGAGTTTGAGGACAACGAATGGGTGGGACGGGCCAAGAGGTGGCGAGGGCGAAAATGGCGCAGTGTCGGCCGAACAGCGAGGGAGAAAATGCCCATGGCTGCGGTGATGTCGAGAACAAAAATACAGAACCAGAAGCAAGATGTGCTTTCCAGGAGTCCCCGCAGGTGCCGCGCAAGTGGAGCTCACGATGATTTGGGACAACGATGCAGGTTAATGAACAAGCCTGGGTTTCGATTACACAACACTCGGGTGAGTGCAGCTGTGCATTGCCAAGCCATAGATAGCACGAGACAACAAAAGGTGTGCTGGCAAACACACAGCACCCGCTCGTTCTTTTACCCCTTCCCCAACCAGCTCCTGCATGCATCACCGCCAACAGCAACGCGCGCCACAGCTCCGTCATGCGCCGGCAGGCGCCTGCGCGAGCACCTGATGGGCAGCCAACCAGCCACTTGGGCGCTACACGAACTTGACGAACCTTGATGAGAGGAGAGGGAAAATGTCAGAAATCACGTGCAAGCACCTGGTGTTGTTGGGAGTCCAAAAGGTGTGTGTGTAAGTGTGTGTGTGTGTGTGTGTGTGTGTGTGTGTGTGTGTGTGTGTGTGTGCTGCACCCAGGACTCGACGGCCTTCAGACCTGGTAGCAGTGTGGGGAGGAGTGGATCCATAACATCCATGCCTGGTTGTCGCCGGTACCCCTCTGTGATTATTTGGGGTAAATGTCAGTGGAGGCTGCAGGCATGAGCCAGCACGTGAAAACTGATCAACGACCTAGCCTAGACTGATATGGGGTGCCTCAAGAGGCTCTCTTTCAAGAGCTTATGTCTGGATTCTGTTGATGCCCAGAAGTTGGTCCTGGATGACGGTTGTGTAGGAGTGGGGCACAGGACGGATCGATTGGAAAAGCAGGATGACCACCATCCGTCCAAGGCACATAACCCAACTCACCAAAAAGAAAAAGAAGAAAAAAATCAGAAAAACAAAAAAAGGGAAAACAAAATGGAAAGGTCTGGCTAACGGATAACACAAAGGCATTCAAGTAACCATATAGCTGCAAGTGAAGACAGGCCAACAGGGAACAGACAAGCTCAATACCATCGAGAGCCTACGCCGACCTAGGCGGCGCGAATCAACGAATACAAAACACTTGACGTGCCGAGAACAGGATGGCCAGACGTGGCCCCAGTCATCCAGGCAGGTCGATGGGTCAATGTCAAGACATTAGCGATCAGAGCGGCCATGCGCTTTCAAAGCGGCCCGAGTCGAGGCAGCCAGAGGATATTAGGCTCTCACCCATATCATGTTACAAGTGGGAGACCAAGCCCAGCGACCGGACGTCATCAATCTCAGACCTCAACAGCCGACACCGCCATGCACAACCCAGCGCTTAATCAAGTGTGTTTCAGCGCTTAGACAGGTAGTTTGCCGGCGCCCTGTATGACGGCAAGCCAACGCGTGCCCATAAAATACATATGAGCTACCCCCCGCCTTGCAAGCGCGCCCTAGCCAACCCCCGTCATGTTTCAATGCCAGGCATGCGCAACGTACCAGCCTTCTTGACCCTGGGCATTGCGGCAAAACCACCACTCAGTAGCCTTCTCTAGAACCGTGACTTTTTCTCGTGGGCGGAGACTCAGTTCCCCCTCACCATCGGCGTTGTAGGCCGTGTCCAAGACCAGAAACTCGTCGTCCCTCAAGTTACTGGATGCCTCATTGGAACCTGGCCGTGATGGCTTGGCGGGCATCGAGGGTTTGGACGGCTTGGACGGCTTCGCCGGCTTGGCCGGTGCACCAGGCTGGCTGTCAGAATTAGACCCCGTCAGGTCCAAGTAGTCGGCAGGAGCCCACCCCTCGCTCTTGTCCGCCTTGATGACAAACCACCAGCCAGTGGCTGCCTCCTCCTCCACAGTCACAATTTCGCCTATTGAATCACACCACAGTTAGACGACAGGTCAGACACAATTTGATACACAACAAGTCGGGTAAGAAGAATGAGTTGGTTCCCGTTCACAACCATCAACAACCATCACCAACTGTGTGCAACAAGACATACCAGCCTTGAGAGAAATCGACTCGCCCGGTTGGCCCTCAAAGTCCGACTTTGCACGCGCCTTTTTAGCATTGCTTGCAGGACTAGCCGCAACAGCAACACCAACGCTGCTGGCCGGATCAGGGCGGCCAGGTCGTGCTGGCTTGGCTGGCACCTTGTTTGCGGCGGGTTCCGGGCGGCCAGGCAGGCTCGGTTTGGGCTTGACCCCGCTCATGGTGGGCCGTGCAGGCTTGGAAGGTGTATCAGGGGTGCTGGGCTTGGCCGGCTTGACCGGTGCAGGCTTGGAAGATGCATCAGGGGTGCTGGGCTTGGCCGGCTTGACCGGCTTGGCGGGCTTGGTGCCACCCGACATGGTGGGTCGCAGTGGTAAGGTAGGGGGTGTAGCCCCGTCAGATTTTGGACCAGACGAGCGAGCAGGCGTCGCGAGTTTGCTGGGTGTCGCAGGCTTGCCAGGTGTCGCAGGTTTGGTGGGCTTTAAAGGCTTGGAGGCTGTGCCTGTGGCCATGGTGCTTGCTCGCTGCGCCAGCGCTGCGGCAATGGCTCCCACACCTGCAGAAGATTGGGGTGCAACGGATGGCCGCGTGTCCACCTTGCGAGGAACGGTGGGCCCAACACCGGCGCCGGATGTGGCCGTGGCCTTGACTCCGTTTTCCTCTTGCAAGGCATCAGCCGGCGCCCAGCCTTCGCGGCCCGCGTACTTGACGTAGTACCACCCGGTCTCTGACTTTTCCAACAGCTCAACACGGGCGCCCGCGGGTAACGCAATGCCGCTGTCATCCTGCTTGTCGCACTTGCGAGTACATGTATAAATTGTGACTGCATCATTGCCGCTGTTCGTAGATGCGGCATTTCTCTTGGGCAAGGCCGGCTGCAAAAGAAAGACGAGAGGCTGTGCATGAGTTCTGGCGCACGGCCGTAACTAGAGATCTGCACGAAACAAGGGCGGCAAGCTGCAGGTATGACGGACCACGGCCGGTTTGGCGGGCTTGGTACCCGAATTTTGTGCAGCGATCTGACGAGCACGTTCAATTTCTGCAAACGGTCCCTTGCTGTGAATTGAAACAGGACGGCGAATGGACTCCTGCGCTCCGTCGTAGGAAACAACCGGAAAATTCCATACCAGCGGGATTTGTGAGACACGAGGTACATGGACACACAATGCCACTGGGTGATCAAGTGATTGCGAAAGCCTCATAACCAAAAGCAAAAGGCATACCCGGCGCGGCGGGGGCTCCTTCTCATTCCTGAGCTGCGGGGCTGGAGGCTTGGCGGGGGGTACAACACCGCCATTGGTTGCTGCAGTGGAGCTGGCCGGGGTGCTCTTGAGGGTTGTCGGCCCTGCATTCGAGTTCTGCAACTCGACAAATGAATGTGGCAGTGGTGTGAGGCATATGGTCAAGTCAGAAAAGAGAGGAACAGCAGAAAAAAAAAAAAAAAAAAAAAAAGGGGGACGTCACTGACATACCTCGATACGTTTCAGGAAGGTACCTGGTGTCCAGCCTACTTTGCCCTGGTATTCCACCTGCCACCAACCATCCAACTTCTTTTCGAGCACACGAACAACGACGCCCTTTTCGTAGCCAATTTCATCGTCACTTGAAGCAGCGTATGCGGCCGTAGTGATGTATTTCTCGTCTAGCCACCACCAAGAGCCGAGGTGGGTCCAGGATCACGGCAGGGGGGCGGATGGAAACGCGACACAGATGAATGATTGGCAGGCATCAGTTCGGTCCGCCTTGCCAACGGTCATCAGCCTACCACGCTTTGGGACTGCGTCACTGTGTTTCTCTTCTTTATCTGGATCTGAAGACGGCAAGCCGACCACCACACCGAGGCGTGAGAAGCAAGAAAGGTTGTTCGCCTCGGGGTCAGAGCAAATCGGATAGCGAGGTGTGTGTAAAGGGGGGTTAAGAACGCATGAAGATGGAGAGGAGAGGCAACTCACCATCAAGAGGCTCCAAGAAGGTTGCGGGAACCCAACCTTGCGAGGCTGAATCGTTGCTCACAAACCACCAACCTGCAGCATGTGGGCAGCAAGGTAGCGTAGCGTGAGCGGGGCAGGTCTGGGAGAGAAAAGGCGTGAGAAGGCGGCCCGCACCATTGTCATTCTTCTCCACAACTTCAAAGATGTCTCCCGTTTTGAAGGAGAGCTCTTTGCGATCTTGCTTTGTATAGTCGGCCACGGCGCGGTACTGGTCCAAGACCATCACTGGCAAAAGAGCACGAGAGCCCGGAGCGCATGGCGAAGGTGGGTTGAGTGTATATCGCGATGGAACTTGACCGGGCCAACAACGAGATATGGACGACATGGTACAAACCATCACCGACGCTAATTTCGCGCTCCTCCTTGCCAGAGTCATCTGACTTTGAAAGCTTCTTGAAGATGCCGGTTGGACGACGTTCGCGCTCTTGCTCGGAGGGGGGAGCGATGTCCGTATTGGTCGCCTCAAAGAGCTCCAGTGCCAGGTCACAGCGAGACAACTCGGCAGGCAGGGAAATGAGCACCTGATGGGTAGGAATTGAGTGTGTGCAGACGTGAGCATCAGGAACACAGCAGGGGAGCCGACGAAGGACAAGGCATGTGGCTGGCAGATGGGAAAGGGAGCAATCATGCCGCCAAACGGAAACGGCTGGGGAACTGTTACGCTCACCTTAAGATACTCATCAATGGGCTTGGCGCGGGATTGAGCAACCTTGTGTGTGTGGCTACGACCAAAGATCTTCTTGCCTATTGAAGTCGTGGACAGTCGAGCAGAAACGGGTGGAGGCGATGGCGCTTGTTAGCCCTTGAGTTTCTTTGATCGTCTGAATTTTTTTTCCTTTCTTTTTTTTTTTTTTTTTCCACATGTGTAGACCCAATACTTGGGGGGGGATTCTCGAACCGGGCAAGAATGGGATGATGCGCTCTTCGCCAGTGGCGCCAGCAGCTTCGGGAAATCGGTCCAGCAGGGATGTCTGCATCACGGATGAAATGGCATCGGAAGAGTGAACAGCGACCAAGTGGCAGGTAGAATGATAGCAGAGGTGGAAGAAACATTGAGCGGCTGGTCGGGTGGTGGACATGACAGAAGACTCACATGGAACTCGAAGAGCTGACTGTAACGGCGATAAATGGTGACCTCTGAACCATCAGACCAGACCACAGTGATGACATACACCTGTACATTCAGCAAGGGCAGGCTGGCTGTGAGAGATGGTGTGCCAGTCCTGTAGCCGTATTTGCAGTTACAGTAGAGTTGAACATGAGAGGAGAGCAAGACAGGTGGAAAGAATGACCGCCCGTACATAATGCTTGGAAGGGGCTCGACGCCGCTGGTAGTCGATCACCGTGACGTTCTTAACAAACTTGGCCATGTCTCTGGTTCCACTGGGGCGACGGGGCTGGACAGGAGTTGCAGTGGGAAAGAAAGTTTATTTCGACGCGCACAATGGCGCGAAATGAAGTCTACCAGAGGTGGTGGGTCACCAATGGCCGCTTTCTCCGCCGCCGCCTCTTGTGGCTGGTGCGCCGTTTGCTGATGTTGCAGCCGATGTGCGCACTCCACAAAGACCCAACGACCGCTATCCGTCAGGCGACAAGTGTTCGAGAACGTATTTGGTGATGAAGCAGGACACACAAGTCAACAGCGAGTGACGGAGAGACCGACCAAGCATGCACCCAGAACAGAACCAGGGCCCAGCGCAGAGGGGGCGGGAGGGCGGAGCAGCACCAGCAGCAGCACCAGCAGCAGCAGTAGCCAGCTCGGATCCAGTCAATCAAAACACCACACACAAACACAAAGAGAAAAAGAAGGACGATTTGGTGCTACCAGTTGACATTGTAGACCACCCAGAATTGTCAGACCCTTTTCGGGGGTCAAATTGTGTATGATGGATATTTCTTCCTCACTAGCTGAAAGTCAAGGGCCAAAGAACCCCTTGCCAGTCAGGCACAGTCATGGTGGTGGTGATACAAAAGCCAAGAAGCCGCAACCCTCCAAACTTTCCGCACACACACACACACACACACCACACACACACACACGCCGGTGTGGTCTGTCAAACAAAAGATTCTCTCTTCTCTCTCTCTCTCTCTCTGCTCTTCTCTCTCTCTGCGCGTTGTGCTCTCTCTGCATCTTTTTTTCATTCGGCCCGTACCGTCATCATGGCGCCTCCCAGTGCTTCTTGCTGCACGGCTCTCCAGGGTGCCCTCGTGACGTCCTTCCTCATCTTCATCGGTGTCGGTACGTGGCAGTCACCTCTGACCCGGGAATGCGACAGGAAAATGAAACAAATAAAGAAAGACTTGAGCTGGCCGCTGCCCTTTGTGGTCCATGTGCGAGTGTCTGCGTGTGCTGTGTCTTCGTTATGAGCTTGGAAGTGCGGGAACTCTTCCTGTCAAAACGGCAGCTTCACCATTCTCCCCTCGATCAGCTTTGGCTGCTGGTATCGCTGGCTTCTCTCTTCTCACCTTGCTGACCGCTCCTTGCCTGGCGCCGCGTGACTTTGTGCCCGTGTCCACAGCAACATGGATGACCATCACCAGCCAAGGTTATCGCTTCACCATTGACGACTTTTTGGGCACAACGTCCCCTTACATGTGGGCAGCGCTTGGCATTGCCATTTCCATCTCCATCTCCGTGGTTGGTGCGGCCTGGGGTATCTTTATCACCGGCGCCAGCATTCTCGGCGGTGGTGTCATGGCCCCTCGCATCAAGACCAAGAACCTGATTAGGTCTGTAATCTGGAGGGCTGGCCACGCCTCACCTAGACCACACCCCCGGCTCAAGGAACTCAAGCACCAGCACAAGCCCTCACGTCCACCCGCCTTCATACACATGTACATGACCAGACACCAAACCCCTTCATGTCATGCCCTCACTAAGATTTGTCTGCTCGGCCGCCCCCGGTCCATAGCATTATTTTCTGCGAGGCCGTTGCCATTTACGGTATTATCATGGCCATTGTCTTCACTAACGCTTTCAAGGTCAGGCCCATACGCCCTGGCTCGAGTACATCCTACCATATCAAACCCAGTGCTGTGCACACAATATGTCGTCACGCATGCAGCATCTCCAATCAGCAAAGGTGAACCTTCTGTTCCTCTCACCCTTTGACATGTTCGCCGACTACATCTTGATAGGAGTTTACCATCTTTAGCGACATCTTTGAATTCTCCGGTGACATTTCCATCAAGGATGCCTCAACTGGCTACGCGCTCTTTGCTGGCGGTATCACCACTGGCTTCTGCAACCTGGTCTGCGGCGTGTGTGTCGGCATTGTTGGCTCGGGTGCCGCGCTCGCCGATGCCCAGAATGGTGCTCTTTTCGTCAAGATTCTGATTGTGGAGATTTTCGGCAGTGCCATTGGTCTTTTTGGCATTATCATCGCCATTATCCAGACCCAGGGCAAGCAGTTTGGCAAGGAGTAAATGCTACATCATGACTCCTCTGCCCGTTTCAATTTTTTTTTTTTTTTTTTGGCTCTTTCTTGGGCATCCGCCGGCCGGGCCGGGGCCGGCCCTTTTTGCTCTCGCCTCTTCCTCCCCTTTGATTGATATCTTGCCCCGCCTGTGCATTTGGGGAGGACAAATGCCTGTTATGCACCAGCCCGTTGGGAATTTGAACGAGATTCTGCCACTCCCTCGTGGCCCCCTGTTTCATGTTTGCCCTTGTCATTGAACCCCTCCCGTCCTTTCTCTTAGCTCAATAGTTATGGCGTGGTAGTGTGGAGCAGCGTCCTTTTGTTTGCTCTGTTGTACTGTTTCTCTGCCTTTCGCTCGTTCACTGCCACACGGGCACTTTTTCAGCGTGCACTGCGCCGACCGGGCTTGGATACAAACACATACTCCCACTTGAGCCACTTGGCAAGTTGTGTTTTGTGTTCTTCCCTTCTTAACCCTCGTGTTTCTCCAAATTGACCCCAATCCGATTTCTGGTTCCTCCCATCCCCCCCTTCAACCTGTCGGAAATTTGAATAGGCTGTCACCAGGTGAAAAAGCAAAAGAAGCATCAATCATGAAGGCAAAAAAAAGAACAAGTCAAAGGGTCAAAGTGTATGAGGAGCACAAATCCGAGGTGGGCTCAAAAGATACAGCACAATACAACAACAGGGGACTGTCGTGTCCAGTCTTGCCCGAGGGACTGACGGGCCCCTTTCTGATCATGAGCTCGTGCGTTCTACGCATCGCGTGGATCATGTGCTCGAGGCCGCACCATGTTTGCCTCCAACGCAATCAGGACATCCTCAATCGGTTCCTCTGCATCTACCTCGGCGGCATTTGGATAGAGATCACGCAACTCATCGGCGAACGCCTGCCATTCACCCAATTTTCGTTGCACGTTTGTCTCCGTGTCACGAGGATGCTGCACTAAACGAGGCACGGCCTCCTCTGGAGGTGGCGCCAAGGCCAGATGATAATGCTTGCCCGTGCTGGTATCAATGCGCCGCTGGGTCAGGCGAAAGAGCGACGTGGCTGGACGCAACTGCAGCAGCATCACGCGTGCGGGCCGGAAACCAGCCGCATGCAAGCCCTCGCCCTGTTTACACGCAGCCAGCAAAAGTGCGGCATCTTGTGAGCTTTCTGGATGTAAACTCAAGTGGAAAAGGCAGGAAGAAAGCAGGGAGCAAAGCGAACAAGCCGAGCGAAACTCTCTTCCGAACGCAGTGCATAGTAGTGGTGGGGGTGTCCGTACAAAACAAAATCTCACCTGCGCACGATTTTGAGGAAAGCCGTCCAGAATCCAACCACGGGAGATGCAGTCCTGCTCCCAAAGACGCTCAGTCACAACTTTGGTGAGGAGTTGATCTGGAATCATGACACCGCGGTCCAGGTAGGGCTTGATAGCAGCCGCCAGGCGACCACCGGCTGCGACGGCTGAACGTAGCAGACGCTCTGGTTGCACATGCACTGCACCATACAAGCGAGCCAGCTGGGCTCCAAGTGCCGTCTTACCCGAGCCCGGTGGACCCAGTAATGCCATGCGCGGGATAATGGGCGCATTTGACTGGCGTTTGGTGCGCAACACGTCCCAGACATACTGCCAGACATCGGCCGGCGGTTGGTCGACATTGACAGTACAACACACACCCTCAAAAGCCCGACGCAGCCCATCGGCGCGACGACGGTACTCCTTGAGACGAGTCGCCATGGTCGTGTCATTCGCCCCTTCATCCTTGACCACCTGCACACCTGCCGGCGGTGGGTCGTAGATTTCATGATACACGGCTCCCGTGCGAGGGTCTGTGCGCTTGCCCGGGTAGCGCGCCATTAACACAGAGTCGGGGGCATCCAGCTGAAGGAAGTGCGAGCACAGAACCCCTGTGCAAATAGTGATCCATCGCCATAAAGCATGGATTGAGATGGCCGTGTGCATGTTTCGGGCCGCTCCCTGCCCCCTCCCACAGAGCCATCTCCACAACGTACCCGACATTTGCAGCGAGAGGGCCTCGGGGCGGCTGCCAGGGTAGTTGACCAGCACCCAGCCGCGCTCTTGGCAGTCAGTACGCTGCAAGCGCTCCAGCAAGACCTTTTGAATCACACTGGGCCGCACACGCGTTTACCCGAGGCGCGGGCATCTTTGATATGTGAGCCCGTCTATGGATCGTTTGGGGTGAGCAGGGATTGATGAGGATGACACCTACGATGCGCAACGACCTGATATTCCATGATGTGCGGTGTCGGTATCTCTTACCTCGCTGCCACTGCTCTCTTCCTCGTTCAGCAAGGAGTCCACGGTCAGGTAGACCAGTTGCAGCTTCTCTGCCAGTTGGCGTGCAAGTGTGGTGCAGCCAGCCGCCGGCGGGCCGCACACAATGATGCGAAAGACTGCACCAGACACGTTTTCAGTTTGAGCAAGAGCAAGTGGACAGAGCAGCAGCTGGTAAGACAATAAGCAGATCTGAGCGCCGGTGCGTACCCTTGGCTCGTGAGAGGCGTTCGCGCAGAAACACCAAAGGATCATCGGGCTGCTCCACCAACAGCTGTTGCAGGAGCTCCTGCACGCACCGAGAACCTCGGTTAGAGAATGTACGCCCCCATGGCCAAACAGGCCGTTGTAGCGAGAAAAAAAAAACCGCATGGCACCGGTCATTCCAAGTGGCCGACCTCGAGCATGGGAAAAACATTGTGGTGCTCGGCATATGAGGCAAAGTCAGGGGAAACCTGCATCCGCCGTTTGGGATCCACTACATGACATGAAGCACAGTGCGCACCCAGCAGGACCCCGGACAAGTGCAATGTGAGCTGTGCGCGCCACGCGACCAGATGGATTGATTCCTGCCGAGTTTTCCGACCGACAACGCACTTGTGCCGCTGCTTCGACGCTTCGAGCTGAATAATACAATAGAGGCGGCCTGGCTCGGGCGCAGCAGGAAGGAGTTAAGAAGCACAGGGGCCGATATAGGCACCCAACTGCCCTCAACAAAAACCCCCTTGGCAGCCTCTTCTGTCGTTCAACGAATGCTCGGCGCACACCTCGCCCCAAGAAGCAGACCACTTCCAACCGAGATCAAGCGAGCAAAGTGCAAAAAACTCGCGGTTGTGTGTGTGTGTGTGTGTGTGTGTGTGTGTGTGTGTGTGTGTGTGTGCATTCCTCTCTCTCTCTCTCTCTCTCTCTCTCTCTCTCTCTCTCTCTCTCTCTCTCTCTCTCTCTCTCTCTCT